CCGCTGCAGGGCACTTCCTAATCAGTGAGGTCTCCTCTGGCTCATAGTTATTGCACTGTAGCTTAAGGACCAGTTTATGGCAATGACTTACTGGTGGACCCTCCTAATTAATGGTGTAAAATGAGGAGGCAGAGATGAGGTGGGGAAAGGAGAAAAATGTCTTCAGGCAATGAGCGAGGAGAGGGCAGACTCAAGGAGGATGGGAAGAGATCTCCCTACAGCGAGCAGCCTTGCTGGCTCAACTCCCCAGTTTGGCTGGGTGGGGAAGGGGGAGAGGCAGACTGGGTGTGAGGGTTGGGGTCTTCCCTGGGCTCGAGGGTGGTGGGCAGGGGATGACCCCGTGGGGCTGGCAGTCCCCAGTACAGGTGGGAGAACTGGAAGTCTTGTTAGGACGGGGGCAATGGAAGCAGCACGCACTTGATAGGCATAATTCCTGCAAAGAAATGAGCCATGGAAACCCTGTCCCTGCTCCCAACTCCCCAGTAAAAAGCAATGATTAAAATGTCCTTTTTAGCCATGAATAATTAACCAGTAACTTGCAACCATATCTTTAAATAGAGGCTGATCAGGAGAGAGGCTGCTTCCACCTCCCTGCCCATGCCTCAAAATCTGCCCGGCCCTCCCTGATCCCCTCCTGGAGACTCACACGGACAAAACCCTAAAGGACAAGGCCAAGTACTTCTGGGAGCAGCAAACTAAACAGAGGCTGTGTGCTTTGCCAATCAACTGAAGATAATTCATCGGCTCAATCCCATATTAGACACCAGAAAATCCAAGGGGAGAGCGCTGTGGGAGCCTGGGTGGATGCTCTGGTGTCTAATACAGGTTGAAGCTTGCTTGGAGGCTTGTCCCTGCTTGGGGGCAGAGTTGAGGTGTTCGGTCCTAAAACCCCCCAAACTTGCAGGAAACCAGTCGTGACCCTGCTCCCAAACTGGGTTGCAGTGGGCCAGCAGCCTGCGCTGGTTTGGAGGGGAGCGGGCAGGCGGGCAGCAGCATCCTGGGCTACTGGCAGGTGTCCCTGCCCATGGCAGGGGGGGCTGGCACGAGGTGATCTTGAAGGTTTCCTTCCAACCCAAACCGTTCTGTGATTCGATGATCCTCCCCAGCATCTCGGTTCTTTAGGAAACCAGGCTAAACCCAGGCTTTGGCAAAGGGGGGTGGGGGGGGGGGGGTTCAGAGTGCCACCACGCAGCCTGTGTCGGCATCTCAGGTTCACGGGTCCTCATGTAATATTCATGTGGGGACGGTGTCAGCTCTCCGCCAGCGCCGGCTGCCCATCCGCGCCGTCGGATGCCCGGCAGGAGCAGCGGAGGGGTTGGCACAACCTTGGTTTCATGCTGCAAAGACCCCGCTGTGCCCGCAGAGGAGGCTTGGCCGGGGTCCCCGTCCCTGCTCCGTCCCCGCCTGCCCGTGGGGCGCGGCTCTGCCCTCGGCTCCGGGATGGCCCCTCCGCCCTAGACGTGCCGCTGGCTGCTCTCCTGGCTCGGCTGAGCTCTTCCAGCATCTCCTCTTGGGGGAAGCCAAGTCCTGGGACGGCCGGCGGGTGAAGGTAGTACCCCCAAGGGATGGGAAAGGGGGGGGGGGGGGTGTATGGGATGTGTCAGTGCTCACCTGGCTTGGAAAAGGTGATAGATGGGGCTTGGGAAGGGGCTGGGTGAGCTGCTGAGCGTCTGCCTCCAAAGCATCTGGGACATCTCCTTCCTCATCCTTCACCTCCTCTGCCTCCAAAGCATCTGGGACATCTCCTTCCTCATCCTTCACCTCCTCTGCCTCCAAAGCATCTGGGACATCTCCTTCCTCATCCTTCACCTCCTCTGCCTCCAAGGCATCTGGGGCATCTCCTTCCTCACCCTTCACCTCCTCTGCCTCCAAAGCATCTGGGACATCTCCTTCCTCACCCTTCACTTCCTCTCCCCCTTCCCTTCTCCTCAGCACGAACCAAGTATGCTACCAAAATCCTTCTCTTTTTTTTTTTTTTTTTTTTTTTCTTAGTGACCTCCAAACTCCACTGTTTCCTAGATATTTGCCTCCCTGGGGCCCCAGTCCACTTCAGTAATACCAGTAAGGGCAGTGGTGATGGAAGGAGGCAGTACCAGATGTTGTAACTGGGGCTGTGAACAGCAGCCGGGACGTGTGGGCGCGGGGACAGCACCTGGAGTTTTATGCCACCGAGGGACCTTGTGCCCTCTGGACTCTGCTCTCTGGAGCAGCGAGAGCTGAGGCTCGTCTCGTGGGTGTGCTAGAGGCGATTTCACGTTCCTGGGGCCTCTTCTGCAGTAAAACTGCCTTTGGGGACACACGAGAGGCTCCTGCAGGCGGTGTCCCCAGCACCTTTCAGCAGGCAGCGAGGGGTCATGGCTCCGGGAGGGGATGGAGGTGACGCCGGCTCCCACGTGCATCTCTCTGGAAGGAGCTGGGTTGGGCTGGTGCTGCTGGGACGGGTCTCGGTGCGTGTTGCTTGGTGCAGGTGCTTAAGCCCGGTCTTTCTCCAAAACCAGCTTCATCGTTTTACTGGTAGGGGCATCAGATGGACCCAGAGCATCCTCAGCGCCCAGGCAAGGACCTTGTCATTTTGGGTCCTGGTGGAGGACCAGCGCTGCCAGGGGCTTCCCTGCAGAGTCCTCCTGGCTCCACCACCGGTTGTTATTTGCTTTGTTTCACTCCCCAAGGAACCTCAGAAATTCCCAGGACAGATACAGTGATTTTATCACTAACCGCCTCCAAGTAATTGCCTACATGCCAGCTCTGGGGCTGGTGGGATATTATTTTTTTTTTCCCTCCATTTTTAAGAAATTATTTGGAAAGAAGGGAGCAATAGACCCGGGAGGTGTGTTCCCTTATGTCTGCTGGATTTCCCACAGCTGCTGGAAGGAAACTCAGTGGTGGAGAGTGGTCTTAGAGCAGGGTTTCACAGCCGGGGCTGTTATTACAGCATTTGCTCATTAAAAAAATGAGTTTCCAGGTAGCTTAAAAGTGTTACTTCCCCTGTAGCACCTCAAGGCAGATGTTCCCTGGCAGGATTACAGATATGGAAACCGACCCCTCATCTTTCCTCCTTCTATCCACTGAGAAACTGCCCTTTCACCGAGGATCCCATGAATTAATCACAGCTAGCAGAGACTGCCTTGAGGCCCCAGCATTGCTTTAGTCGCAATTAAACCTCAGCTATAAAGAGTTCCTGTATCTTATGCTGGCCTTCTGCCCTGACTGAATTCCCCCTCCCTTGGTGAATACATTACCCTCCTATTCTCCTTAATTTTCTTCTCATTTGCTCTGGCTCTGTCAGCAAAACTTCCAGTTGTCTTCAATAACAACTGGAAGTTTGTTATTGAAGACAACAAATGCACCAGGATGGCTGCAATGCCAAGACTTCTTTGGTTTGCCAAAAAAAAAAAAAAAAAAAAAAAAAATGAAAATAAGAAGTGCAACTTCATCCTTTGGCCCCAGCCAGATGCAATCAAAGCTGAGACTGAGGGATCCTGCATTTTGGTGCTGTCGTCTGGCTCATGGGCAGCACGTCCCAATCCTGCTGCATCCAGGGCTGGTGCTGAGCCCTGGTAGCCAGCTTTGGAGGTAAGATCCAAGCTGGAGGCGAGGTTCCCCCTTGCTTCCAGGCTGGCCCAACACATCCCTCAAACCTGCAAGGTTTCTGCAGAGAGCAACACTTCCAGGTAATGGGAATTTTCCAGTCAAAAAAATTCCCCTTCGGCTTCAGCACCTTCTGCTTTGGGGACAGTCACAGGCCATTTCCCTCGAGTCTCTCTCCAGCTCTTTACTCTTTAATATCAGAACAGCGTTATCGCATGGTCTGACTTTTGCTTCTGGCTGGTTTCAGTTTTACAGATACCAGGGAGGTGTTTTCCTACTGAGGTTTTCAGCTGAATCTTCAGGCTAAAAATCCATATTACATCCAGACTCCGTAACTTTCACCAGGATCACCCAGAACCTCCCACCTCTTTGCAACAGCAGCATGGACTTGCCTCCAAGTAACAGGGAGCTGCCTCCTGAAAATTTCTGCAAGGCTCCTGTTGTCTTTAACCGTCTCTGCCCACTGGCTGGATCTGCCTTTGAGAGCGATCCAGATTGCAGAAATCCCATCATTTACCGAATGCCGCCTTTCTGCATATTTGCTGTACACGTGTGTAACAAACACCAAGCATCGTAGGAGTCCAGACTGTCAATGCACTTGTGGGTGCACGGGCTGATTTCCGAGCTGGAGTAACAGTCCTAGCCCCACGGAAGCATTTGGAGCTAGAAGTTTTACTTCTTAAACTTGCCTTGAAACGATGGGTATCTTTAGAAAGCAACTGGCAACCATTATTTTATGAGCCAATCCAGCCCAAACTGCCCTGAGTGAATTTGACCCCAGCCTGGACTGCAGACAGGGAGCTAAAACCGACCTGGTCCTGGTGTTTACCACACTGGAAGGGAAAAAATCATGTTGCTGCAATGGGCTGCCAAAAAACCTTACGATTTGCACAGATTTGCCACTGATCTAGCCAAAGAGGTTGTCGTTTTTTCACAGCAAGGTGGTGGGGGAAATGGTTGGACGTTTTAATTTTTTGGCAATGGCTTTAGGTGACCGGGGAGCAATTGCACGAACAGGTCAGGAGAAAGGAGGAGTCTGTGCGCAGCGGGGGCTAGCAGCAGAGACGGGAGGCCCGGGGGAGGGTTTGTTGGCTGCTAACGCTGTGCTCCAGCCTTGTGTTTCATCCCAAGCTGGGGTGTTCCCTGAGACAAAAAAAAAAAAAACAAAACCAAAACCAAAAAAAAACGAGACCCAAGACTCAAAGGCAGCGCATTTAGCTGCAATCTTGACTCTGCCCTGTGGCATGTTTGCAGCAGACATGGCTTAGTCTTCCAGCTGATATTTCCTCTCTTGCTTTTGAGCTGTGAAAGGCTCCTCCTGTTCCCACCCCCAGGTCCCCCCAAAAAACCCACTAAAAATACAGTAATTAATGGTTGGTTCGTTGGGGTTTTTTTGCCCTCTCTTCTTCCAGAGCTGGGAAAGGAGTTTTTTCAGCCATGAAGCTTGGCAAGACGCGCCCGACAAAGGATGACCATCGGAAGCAAGGTACGGTGTTCCCGGGAGGAGGTTGTTCTCTGCTTCAATCCCGCTTTTTGGCTATCCTTCACATCCCAGGAAAGCATCTGAGAACCACGTAGACTCACAGACTGGTTTGGGTTGGAAGGGAGCTTAGAGATCACCCAGTGCCCCCCCCTGCCCCGGGCAGGGCCCCCTTCCCCCAGCCCAGGGGGCTCCCAGCCCCGTCCAACCTGGCCTTGAACCCTTCCAGGGAGGGGGCAGCCACAGCTGCTCTGGGCACCCTGGGCCAGCGCCTCAACACCCTCAGTGTAAACAGTTTTGTCCTTATATCTAGTCTGAATCTCCCCCCTTTTAGTTTAAAACCATCACCCCTCGTCCCGTCGCTACGGGCCCTGCTCAAAGTCTGTCCCCAAAGCGGGTCCCCTGGGGTGCAGCCAGTCAGTAACTTGGGGATTAAACAGGGAGCGTTGGGTGCTGGGGAGGGGAGCTGGAGAGAGGGGCTCCCCGGGGAAATTGGAAGTAGGAACTGATGGAGAGTGTCTCCAGCTGAAGACTTGGCCAGATATCACCCACCTCGTGATATCCCACCTGCGGCAACGCCTGGGAGCCCCGCCGGCAGCTTCTGCTTTATATTTAAGGGATGATTTGCAAATGTGACGGTGCAAAGCAGGATTTAGCCTGTGCGGCAGCAGCAGCACAAGAGAAATGGCTCAGCTGCTGCGGGGCTGCTTGTCCCCGGGGCTCGGCACCGCTGAAATCGGACGCCTTTCTGGAAACGCGCAGGAGAGTCGGCAATCGGAAATTTGTTGTTGTTTCCATTCCGACCAAAGGATTGGGTTTCAACGGTGAAGAAATGGGGGAATGCACGTTTGTGGGTGAGGACAAAGCCTGGCTTTAGATAGTGTTTCTGAGAAAATCTCCACTGTTTTTCAGCCAGGTTTGAGGGGAGGAAAAAGGGAATTTGGCCTGGGACACCAGTGTGGGTAGAGGCATCGGCAGCCTGTGGGAAGGCATGGCAGTGAAACCCGGGTGGCCACCCTCTCCCCCCGGTGCCTGGGCATTCATCTCGTGGTTAAAGCTTCACGCAAGGCCGTGGGGAAAGCAGCTGGGATGCAAAGGCGGGAGCAGGGTGCACGGCCAGATAGTAGGGTGCCTTCACGGATGGGGACTTGCCCGTGGTTGGGGAATGGTTGCAACACAGCTGCTGTATTGCATGGGGGGGGTCAGCGCTGCACAGCCGGGAGGCTCCTTCTTCCACCTTCTCCAGGTACCTCTGGTTTTCACACACCTCTCCAGGGCTCTGCTCCCTTAGCACCCCGCTCCTCCCTCGGCCTCAGTGTAGTCTCGGTTGTGATTCCTACCCTTGGTCTGGACAGCTGGTGGTGGGACGGGATGGATGTGTTGTACTTTCTGCCCGTCCACCAAGCCAACATCCCTCTTGTGCCATGGTCTGCTCTCCTCCCGTTTTACTGCTGGTCCTGCTCAGGTCAAACGGACCCACTGAATCTCCAAAAACCGAGCTGGGAGGGTGAGAATTCATTCACCCACCCGCACGTGGAAGGATTGAACCTTCTTAGGTCCTTCCCAGCTAGTGTGGCTCCGAGTCAATCTCAAAAGCTCCCAGTTGAGTTGAGGACACTCTTTCCCCACCCAACCTGCAGCAGTGTCTCTCTCCAACCTGACGAAGAGCTTTCCCTAACACCCAGCCTAGATCTCCCTCGCTTCAGCTGAAGCCCAAGTTATCTCACAGAAACAGGTCTCCTGGGGCATGCTGATCTCCTGGAGCAAGCTACAAGCTTCTCTAGGTTAGTGAAGAGACAGGGAACCTGTTTCCCAGGAGCAGCGTCTGGGCAGTATGAGTGGGTTCGTACAGCTGTGCCACCAAAGCAAACCAGTGACCCAACACCTATACTGGTGGTTCAGGCCCAAGAGAAAAAAAAAAAAAAAATCTCTGCTGCTTTGTGGCCATTTCTTGACCGGAGCAAAGGCAGGAGGGACAGGCATGGCACACGCGTGGGTTGTGCACAGGAAAGGAGAATCTCAGCAGCTTCTTCCAGTAGAAACGCAGACGGGTGGACAACGCGGCTGTGTCTCGGTGCCAGTGGTATCTGCTGTCTTGACTCTCCACGCAGCAATTTTTCTTCTTGGGAAATGACCCCTTTCTCCTGTTTTTTCAGACCTCTCTACCCCAAAACTAGGCAGTCGGTTGTTTTTGCAACTGCTCTGCTGGTAGTTAGAGCTGCCAACACTTGCTCAAATGCTCTTTCTCCCCTCAAAGTCTGGGGTGTTTGCTATTTTCCGTTTTCTTTTTGCCTTCACAAAACCCTATCACGGCATGCTGCCCTGGCAGAATAATGTGTCACAGGAGGCAATACCTCTTTTTAAATCCCTTTTTAGACCGGGTTGTCTGCGACCCAACCTGGTGACCATTGTTCTTTTTGTCAGCAGGTGAGGTTGACGGGATGTATTGGTTACGTTTCTCTTCGCCTTTAATTATTCACCCAGTGGAAACAATAAGAGGCATTCTTTTGTCTCCTTCATGCAGATGAACCTGCTGTTTTGGAGGCAGAAGACCTGGACCAAAAAGCCATGAGACTGGGAGGAGGACTGGAGCCGGACACCATCTCCTTGGCCTCTGTCACAGCTGTCACCACCAATGTCTCGAATAAGAGGTGAGGTCCAGCTGTGAGCTTGTGCAAGCCAGGAGGCGAGGGCGTGCTGGCAGACACCCCACAACCACGTGTCCCCTGAGATGGGGTATCCTGGAAGCCACCTTGCCCCATGCAGCCAGTGGGTTTTTTTTGGAAATACATGACCTGCTACAAAGAGCACCAACGTTCAGTGGTGTTTCACAGCCCCCACCGCCCGGGTTTATATTCCTCAGACTCAAAGAGGGCAGGTGCTTCAAGGGGTGACCCTGCAAATGCTCCATCGTGGCTTGCAGCGAGTCCATCCGGGGGTTGACTGAGGGTTTTTTCTGCCCCTCCAAAGGTCCAAGCCTGACATCAAAATGGAGCCGAGTGCTGGGAGGCCAATGGACTACCAGGTAGGCGACAGCGTTGTGCCCTCAACCTCAGCCCACGGGGGTCACAGCCCAGGGGGTGGGGGGACCGTTTTGCAGGGAACGAGTTCATGCTGGGTTTCAACACGCCGCGCCCACGAGGCACGGCTTTCCTAAGAGCTGGGATTTCGGTGGCCGAGCGACAAACTCAAGCTTAAGTCATTAACTGGGTTTGCTCTCCGTTGTGTGAAGCCCAGAAAGCCCAAATTGACCTGGAACGGGCTGTCTCCAATACATTTCTCTTACCCCCCAAGAGCTTTCAGTACGCTGTTTAGTGTTCACAACCGGTGAGCCCTGGCTGCTCACTGCATTTCCTCGGGTAGGCTGGTACCTGGCTGCTCCTACCCCGTTCAGCGATGCTCCGTTCCGGCCACTTTACCTAAATTAGAAGAATCACGTATTTAGTGTCCCAAGGCTCAGCTGATCCGTGCTGCTCCCTTTTCTTGTAGTAGTTGGTGCCCGCGTGGTTCGTAAATTGGCTCTTCTCGTTTTCGCCACGTCGTGCTGATTCAGCAGCAATTTGGCTTCATGTCCTCCCCTCTCAGCGCAGCGACGCATTCCTGGGGATATCTCGGACCACTGCAAATAATGGTTTTTGTTAGAGGTTTATTGCAGAGAGAGATTGTTAGAGATTTGCAGCATTTGCTGCAGACCAAATTGTGAGGCTCACGGAGAATGAGTGTGCTTGGTCCAGGAGGGGGGAGCATAAAGAGGAGGAAGAAGGTGCAAAACAAATTACAGTCAAGAGGCAGAAGGAACACAAATAAGGTTCAGTTATTTGGCCACTGCAAATAAACAGGATCACTTTTTTTTTTTTTTTTTAACTGGAATCTGAGCCTCTTTTAAAAAAAATCTAATTGAAAGTCAAGCCTCCTAATACGTTACCAAAATTAAACTTTCCCAGATTTACCCATAAAGATGATAGTTTAATTTTTAATAGATTTCTATTTTTCATTGTTATACAATTTAAGATAAAGCTGAGTTCAAGCTTCAAAAATAGTTAATGATAGCTAGAGAAGGCATGTGTAAATTAACTCATCTGTTGGGCTTTGAGGTAGCCAGGACTGAGAGTTCATGTTATTTTAAAAAAATAATTTTAAAAGATACTCAAATTCACTATGCTTTCAAACCTGGAGGTTACCTGTCCTACCACCAACTTGTAATGAATTTTAAAGAGATGACTAGAAAAAAGGCTGCTGGGAATTGAAAAGGTTTGGTACCTACATGAAATTACACCTTACGTTTTTGAGCTAAAGAAACTGAGGTATAATCTAAGAAGGAATCCCTATAATCTAAGAAGGAATCCCTAATATGAATTTAATATTGCAAGGAAGGAATTTAGATACGGTCTAAATCCCTAATATTAATTTAACGTCACAGGGTAGATTGAATTGTGAATGACAAAATTCTGTGTCATAAGCACATGTAAGCGTTTCATCGGAATGATTAGCTCATTTTCTATTGAAAGTAGTTTATTTTTACATATGCTACGTACAGGAATACTTAAATAAAACGGCACGTGTGTTTGCATTCATATAGGAGGGTTGAACCATGGAATGGTGGGGTATTCTCTGGACATAATAAAAAATAGAATATTTCAGTTGGATGGGACCCGCAAGGATCATCCCCCTGTGTTTTCTAGCAGAAGCAAGTGAAGCCAGCTGGGGTCTCAGCAATGGAGCCTCCGCTCCCACATCTTAGCTAAATCCTTTTGACTTTACACCTCGCATGAAGCCGCCCCTGCTCTGAGGCTGAAGCAGGAGGGGTGCCCAGGTTCTCCTGCGCCCCTTGCAGCTCGCTCAGCCCTGTCCGAGCAGCACAGCGTCTTTGGTGTGACCAGTAGACCCCAGAGGTGCCACCACTGCCCTGGAAATGCTTCAAAACCAAGAGGCGGGCGGGCAGGGGTTAAGGCAGCGAGCTGATGCTGCTCCCAAGAGGTGAAGGTGCCTGAATCCCTCTCCCCAGGTCAGCATCACCGTCATCGAGGCCCGGCAGCTGGTCGGGCTCAACATGGACCCCATGGTCTGCGTGGAGGTCGGAGAGGAAAAAAAATACACGTCCATGAAGGAATCGACCACTTGTCCCTACTACAATGAGGTGGGTCTGTCCTCTAGTGATGCTCCCTGCTCCTCGGGGTCAGCACTGCTGATAGTCAGTTAAATATAATGTCTTATCGCTTGGGGGCTTTTTTCTTCTGCCACCTCCCGTCAGAGTAAGGTGAAATCTCAAACCGTGCAGAAAGGAGGAGTGAAGCCTTTACCCTCTGGTATTTTGCGAAATGGTAAAAAGTGCACTCGCGCGATCTGTGCTAAATTATTCTCAGTTTTTTTTCCAAGAAGTGAGTGCTTCCTTCTAGCTCCTCGGACTGCAGAGGCTCTCGGGGTTGGGGCTCACGTGGATGCACCCCCGCCGCGACATGTGCCGCAGGATGCTCTTCCAGGCAGTTGCAGCTTCTCCGGCTGGAACGTGCACCAGAACGCTGGCTTTCAACCCCAAAGGATCCCACCCCGGCCCTCCCGCCTTCATGACTGCTCTTTCCCTTTCAGTACTTCGTCTTCGATTTCCACGTCCCCCCGGATGTCATGTTTGACAAGATCATCAAGCTGTCCGTAAGTGAGCATGGTTGTGTTATCCTTTTCATGGGGCTTTGGAAGAAACCAGCCCCTTTTGCACGTGCACCGGGAATGGATTTAAGGTCCTTGATGTGAGACCCCCCAAAAGGAGCCGAGGTGTTTGTTCCTCACCCCTTTTCCAGCCCCGCCAGTCCCTCTTTCTGTTGCTGACCTTCCTTGCTGGGGCCACACAGCTCCACTCCTGCATTTGCTATCTCCCTCCGTGGCTGATCTCTGGCATTTCAGAGCCAGGTGGAGTTAAACCTGTCTCGGGATGTGTGTAGGCTGGGGGAGAAGAAAGACCTTCCCAAGCCTGCCGGAGGATTTCCTGAGATGTGGAACTGGCAGAGCAATTGTGGAAATTCAGGGCTGCAGATGCTGAGAGCAAAGCAGAGGCTGCAGCCCTCCGCCCGGCCACAGAGGAGGGCGATGGACAGGATTTGCACATTCAGTGACCAAAGCACGCTAATTAGGAGCATCCATATCTCTCCCACAAAGGGAATTAGACCATAGATTTTGAGCATCCTAAAGCCTCTTCCTTCAGGTAGATCTCCCAGCGTGTGTCACCATAGTGGCTGGAAAACGGCATCCTGTTTCAAAGATGAATTTCTTTGCATTTTTTTTTTTTTTTTTTCTATTCAATCCAAGTATACACTTGCTCGCAACGCTGCTAAGCAAGAGTCACCAGCCCCACCATGCCTCTTGGTGTCCTTATACAGACCAAGGTCCTGCACAGGCCAAGGAAAATGCATCAGCTCCTTCCCCACCTGACACTGGGCACCTCTGGAAGGAGCCTTATGGTTCCCAGGGCATGGAAAGAACGGACTTATTTTCCCCTTTCGATTTCCAGGTGATCCACTCAAAAAACCTCTTGCGCAGTGGGACTTTGGTAGGCTCCTTCAAGATGGACGTTGGAACCGTTTATACCCAACCTGGTACGTAAATGCTATTTGCAGGTAGTCCTTTGTGGCTGCCTGCACCACTGAATAAATGTCCTCGCAAGGTAGCCGGGAAGGTGTTTCCTTGGGTGATGCTTCCTGAATTTAATTTTAGTCTCCTCCATATAAGCAAGTCACCTGGGCTACCCTCTGCAGTCAGGAAAGAGCACTCAGCACCTCCGGAGAAGGTTGTGTATCCCATCCTGAAATAAGGTGTTAGAGCCAGAGGCTGAGATGCCCTGTGGGTGTGCTGGTCTCTGACCACTGGCCTGCTGAGGAAGGAACCCCAAGGCGAGATATCAACCTTCCAGATAGCCAAAGGTCATGGGCTGGACCTTGCCCTCTGTGGCTATAGATAAGCCTGAGCTAAGATGTAAATGAAGCCTCCAGAGTCTGCACTTGAGGGGTGGTCAGCAGATGGTGAGGGGGACCTTAAGGGAGCATCTAGTCTGGTTCCCAGCTCCACAGGAGGATGAAGTCTTTCTAACACGATCCAAAAGGCACCTGAGACCTTAAAGACTTAGAATTATAGAATCATTTGGGTTGGAAAAGACCCTTAAGATCATCAAGTCCAACTGTTAGCCTACCAAGTCCACCACTAAACCATGTCACTAAATGCCACATCTACTTGTCTTTTGAATACCCGCAGCGAGGAAGACTCCACCCCCCTTCAGACAGTTTATTCCATTGCTTCTCTGTCTTCAGCATGAGACACATCTTCCTAATGAATTTTTCAGGGGTTTCTCTCTGAGTTTCTCACATCCAAAGATGTACAGGTCCCCCCCACTTGAGTGGAAGGACGTTTCCAGACCTCGTGGTCATTGCAGTGTCTCATTCTGATAAATGACTGTCTTGTCCCATGGCTTCCAGAGCACCAGTTCTACCACAAATGGGCCATCCTTTCCGACCCCGAGGATCTCACTGCTGGACTGAAAGGCTACCTGAAGTGTGACATCGCTGTGGTAGGAAAAGGGGACAACATCAAGACACCACACAAATCCAATGAGACAGAAGAGGAAGATATTGAAGGGTAAGGGTCTGCAGAGCCGGCTTCACATAGTCCTACATGAGAACGACTTTTTGTGTCTCGTCACCTGGGATCATGCAATGAGGACGGTGTTCCTCTGGATGAGGCTGGTGGCCCTTCTGGCATCCGTACTTACCTTGTGCAATGAAACCAGAGGGACCAAATAAGCTGTTGAAAAGAGAGATCATGGGCAGAGTACTGGTGCAAATCCGGGTCATATCAAGTACCGACTAGCCATTTCTAGCAGCTCAGATCATCTGCTGGTTGATGAGCTCTCTATGCCACCACCAGCTTGATGTCAACCATCCTGGTGTCCCCACTGTTTACCTAATGCTCCTGTTGGCCCTTGGATGGGATGGGATGGGGTCTCATCATCTACTGCCAGGGCAGAGCAGGGAGGTCTGGATGAGGTTTCCCAGGCTGCGTGGGTGGGCAGGGCTCTTTGACTCCCCAGAGCACCTAAAAAGCCATGAAAGGAAAATCAGGAGAATTTAAAACTTAGTCCCAGCCCCAAAACATTTCAGGCTAATTAATTCTCTCCAAATGCAACCACGAGCTTTGAAGTCTACCTTTCAGCCTCTCGCCACATAGTCATAAACCCAGACTAGAAGCAAAATACCAGTGCAGCTTTCTTGACTTGCTGTGGACCAGTGGGCTCAAGGCACCACCTGAACTATTTTGGGCCGTTGTTTCATGCTGTAGGGGTGATATTATCCCACTTTTTCAGGGACAACTCCAGCAATTCCTCTAGAAGTTGTTTTGTTCACAGCATCCCCAATGGATCTCATTTCTTCCCCCAGAAGAGGAAAACCAAATATGCCAAGAAAACCAATTTGGTGGAGCTCCCCTTGTACCTGATACAGAAAAAAGGCTTTTCTACCATCCCATTCATCTGGGCTGCTATAGATGTCTAAATTAGGCTGAGCTTAATTGTCCCCTAGACACCACTGGCAATAATAATATCCCTTTAGTGGAATGCACTTTGTCCAGAGGCACCTTGGGGGGCTCTTCTAAGGTTTTGCTTAGAAAACCACCACTCCCCACCCCAAAACAGGAGGATGGGCAGAAACAGAACAGCAATAAAATGTATGGCTGCAGAAATCAGCATCTTTCGACCTCCACGGTGCCTGTGCTCAGCAAGCGGGGCTGCTTCTCCCTCTTCAGCAAACCTCTCCTGACAAACCTGCCAGCCCCAAGGGCTGTTTCCAACCTTATCTGTTGATGTTGCAGGAACCTCCTCCTCCCGGATGGGGTCCCTGCAGAGAGGCAGTGGGCTCGTTTCTACATCAAGATCTATCGAGCGGAGGGATTGCCCCGTATGAACACCAGCATCATGGCCAACGTGAAGAAGGCTTTCATCGGGGACAACAAGGACTTGGTAGACCCCTACGTGCAAGTGCTCTTTGCAGGGCAGAAGGTGAACAAGCTGCGTGCGGTACCAAGGTGATGCTGGGTGGTAACGTGAGCAGGACCCGCATTGTGCAGGCGGCCAGAGATCATCTCGGTTCTCCTGGCACGTAGATGCTGAGGTGCATGGCAAAGCCGCCTTCTTTGCTATGTTCCCCCTCTCTTGCGCGGACTGTGACGGGTTTGCAGCACTCTCCAGCTGATGGAAGGGAGCTTGTTAATTGTGAGAGGAGAGCCACAAAGCAGAATGCATCTTTCAGTGGTCATTAGCAAGGGAGCAGCTCAGATTGTGGGGGATGGCTTGGGAGCTCACACCCTTGTCTAACATCCATCTATCTCCTCCCACTCGGCAGGGGAAGACATCCATACAAAAAAGCAGCTATGAGCCTCTCTGGAACGAGCAAATAATCTTCACAGAAATGTTCCCCCCATTGTGCAAGCGGATAAAGATCCAGATCCGAGACTCGGACAAAGTCAATGATGTGGCCATCGGTACCCATTTCATTGATTTGCGGAAGATCTCTAACGAAGGAGACAAAGGTAAAGCTCAGGTGGGGGGCAGATCTTCACAGTAGAGACATCCCTTTGGAAGGAAGCAAAATAGCCTAGGTCCCTTCCCCACCCCTGGAGATACCTGCTTCTTGGTGCTCAGCCAGAGAGACCTTGATTCACTGCAATGGTCTTCTGAGGTCACTGGACAGACAGTCTGAAAACCAATACCAGTCCAAACCAGTCCAATATCTGAAAGTGAGGACGCCCAAGAACAATTTACCCTTCCAGAGATTTCCTTGCCATGACTGGATGACTATCTGACAAGCTCCCCAGTTCCCGCACGCATGAGCACACCAGCACATGTAGGCAGAACCAATGTGAAGCCAAAGATGGCCCTAGAAAGGGGGCTAACGGGGGGGGGGCTCTCACACCGGGTAATGTATGTGCTGGCCCAGTGCATGGCTGGAATTGTGCGTTTCCATGCCCACACACAAGCATATTCAAGCCTTCATCACGGTACACAGACCAGGAGTAATGCCAGTCCATGAGTGAGTTTGGAACCCGAGGCAAAGCCATGCCCTCCTCCTTGCACATCCCTTTCCTTACGTGCATGTCCGACCTGCTGCAGGCTTCCTGCCCACCTTTGGCCCCGCGTGGGTGAACATGTACGGCTCCACGCGGAGCTACACCCTGATGGACGAGCACCAAGAGCTGAACGAGGGTCTGGGCGAAGGCGTCTCCTTCCGGGCCAGGCTTTTGATCAGTCTTGGCGTGGAGATCTTGGACACCAGCAACCCAGAGATCAACAGCTCCACCGAGGTGCAAGTCGAGCAGGCCTCATCTATTGTTGACGTAAGTCACCCCTAACCCTACAGCTGCCAGTGGTGAGTCTTGGGTCCCAGGCCTCTTGGTTAATTATCTTTGGTCTCTCAAAGTGATGATTTCATTTAGTGTTGCCCTAAATGTTCTATATCCTGGGAGACCCAGAACGAATGCAAATCTTGCAAGGATTTTATATTTTATGATCATTCAAATGCTCACCTCTCTTAGGAGTGCTGAGCAGAAGGAATACCTGAGTGAGGGAGAATCCTAAACTTTGAGATGCTTCTCCAACTGGGTGCTAGATAAGGACAACGAGAGCCACCTCCTAATGCCAGCTGTCTCGGTCCTGTCCTGAAGATGGGTTCCAAACAGAAGCCAATAATCTAATCTATTTCCCAACCAATTCTGTGAGGGTGGAACTGGTTAGAGAAGTTAAACGGCTGCTTCCTGACAAGACAAACCCCCCAGCTTTAGTCCTGACATGTAGAGCCCACAGGGCTGCTGCCTGTGCTCTGCATGAACGGACACATCCAGGCATGTCCTGCCTGGGGATGCCTATGTATGCTAATCCATATGAGCCAAGGGTGCGAAGTAGGAATGGAGAATGATGGCAGTGCACCCTCGGTGTAAAAGCTCTCCTTCAGAAGTAAAGTGGCCTTAATTCAACTCCAGGGGAAATGAAATCACCTGGAAATAAAGTCATTCCAGTTTTGAAAGAGCATCGGGGCAGGTAGATGGTTTGGTGTGGTTTGATTAATTCAATTTGCGAGTGAGCTGAGGCTTATGTTCCTGGATGTCCCTTAGACAGTCTCTCACATGCAAGTGATGGCTGATCTCAACACGTTTAAAAGTTAGGCTAAAATCTTTCATTAAACTCTCTCTCCAACAAGCCTAGAGATAGCTCAGGCTGGGAGGGAGAAAACCCTCATGATCCCCTTGAAAGTCCAGGCAGTGACATCGCACCTTCAAAAAGCCCATGAGGGTGCTCAGAGGTGCCAGGCGAGGCACCCCTCTACCCAAGGAGACCTGTCCCCCTCGGTGTCCCTCTGGCTGGCCTCAACCCCGATCCCTGTGATTTCTCCCGCAGAACTGCGCAGGGAAGATGGAGGAGTTCTTTCTCTTTGGAGCCTTCCTGGAAGCTACCATGATCGACAGGAAGATCGGTGACAAACCCATCAACTTCGAGGTCACAATAGGTTGGTTGTCTTGGGGGGAGGGTGGTTTCGAAGCGTGTCTGGTGGGGAATGCAGGATCCAAGGCTGAGAGCTGGTGTTCTTCCCCTTTTTCCAGACCAACACATGCTAGAGCATGCAGGGCTCTCGGGTTAGGGAGAAGGTGATGGCTAAAGCTACTCGGGGCCTGAAATCATCTCCTGTGTGCATGCTGTGCTGTGGCCAGTGGAGCTGCTCCCTCTTTCAACCAAGCTTTGTGCCTCCTGAGGGTGTATATTCCTACTTGGCTCGAGACATGGGCAGGTGACAGAGACCCATCACTAATTTATGGCTCCTGGGCATGGTTTCAGAGAGTTGAACTCCACTGTCCCCCGTGGTTCCTGCAGTGAAAACTTCTCCCCCGCCTGAATTAAAGCCAACAGACTGAGCCCCGTTGGAGTTACAACCCTGTGACTTTATTTCCCACTTTTTTTTTTTTCTTGAGGTAACTATGGGAACCAGGCCGATGGCGTGACCAAACCCGTCCTGCGAAAGAAGAAAGAGGGAGGAGACGGGGATGAGGAGGAGTCTGAGCTGCTCCAGAACTCGAGCGAGGATGAAGGCGATGAGGATGGAGAGCTGGTCTCTGTTTCTTCATCTCAACCCGTGAAGCCCCTGGTCACAGACAGGTAAGCGTGCCTGCCCGGCCACAGAAGGGCCGCTGGGCAGAGATGTGGCTCTCGATTCAGGCGTGGTCTGTAGGTGTTCCCACACGTGCTGGGTGTCTGAGCTCCCCCCCACCTCTGCAGAGGTGAAGTCAGAGGTGAAGTTGGTGCCATCACGGGGCCTGGAGTCATTGAGCCAAACAGAGCTGGGAGCAGCAGGGGAGACCAGACCCCCGTGCCCTGGAAAGGGAGATGAGACACCACGTGTGGATACCTTGTCTTAGATACTACAGTCTGCCAGCTGAACCCCCACCCCACCCCTACAGTTCTGAGCATTCCTGTGGATTCTCTGATGTCCAATAAGGGCTGAATTTACCTCCCAGGCTGCCCTACAAAGGACGTCCTCCATCCACCTGGCCAGACGTGCACCCAAACTCATGTCTATCTGACACCTTTAGCGCTCTTCCCCTATGGCAAATAGGGCATTAAACCAGTGGATTTCAAAAAAAAAAAAAAAAAAAAATCATTGGTGGACACCGGAAAACCAGATTCATTCCTGTACATAGGAGTTTTGTACATTTAAAAAAACAGACTAAAACCAGGTCCTTCCCTAGGATCACTGCCAGCCTTGGTGGCACAACCCAACCCCACACGTCAGGGAGGAGGGGTGAAAAGTCCATCCGGAGATAAGGCACAGCTTTCAGCAGCGAAGGTCATTTGTGCTGAGACAAGGGGCATTTCTTCATCGCTTGGGATCTTAAAAGCTGGTCGCGGTCACTGACAGGCAAAGAGGAGAGGGTGCAAAAACTGCTGGAAAAAGTTCTTGAGAAAGCATTAGGCAGGGGATTGGGGTAAAAGACTTAAAAACCTCTCACCCTCCCGAGTTTGCAGCATCTGTTTTTTTGGTCAGTCTGTCTGCCCCCGTCGCTTACAGTCATTGACAGCCCCACTCTGGTGTTTAACAGAACCAGGACTTGGGGAAATGGGTCCTACCCTGGATCTGCCGAGGCACAGCTGGTTGTCAATGGACAAATCGCTTCTGTTTCCTTTGCCTCAGTTTCTCCGGATATAAATTGATGGCACTCTTTTAGGCTGCTTTACAAATTGCTTTGTGATGTGCAGGTAGCAGTCACCCTAAAATACAGAGAAGATCCAGACGGCTGCAAGTGTGATTCTGGTGGGTGCTTCCCACCCCAAGCAGCTGGATCAGAAAGCCCCAGACTCAACGGGGGATCAGCAAACGTGTCTTGGGATGCCTGGGCTGGGCTTCAGCCACAGCCTGGATTTGGATACAAAGGACTAGTGCTAAGAAAAGCTAATTGGATTTAACCCGATGAGATGTGCTTAAAGTGGATTTTAACCGTGTTATACCCATAGATAGATGTTAATAGAATTAACTGGCTGTCTTAATTCATTTGGGAAATGAAACAAACCACGCTGAATCGAGGATATTTGCACTCCAGATAAAAGTGTCTACCTGGGGTTTCCTCACTTGTTCCCCAGCTCCTTGCCAAGCTGAATGCTGAACGGAGATGAGAAGCACCAGTGGTTTTTGAGCCTGTCCCCTGGGCTCTGATTCTCAGGCCGTTTATGTCTCCAGCCCCTGGGTGCTGGGAGCCTCACAACCATGCGCTGATGTCTGCTGACATCTTCTGGCTGGGGATACCCGATGGCTTCGGACGGATGAGCTGGAGCTGGTTTTTAACTAAGGATAGATCCCAAGGGCAGCAGGATCAGCAGTGGCTTTCCACTGGGTAGAAAGATGAACCCAGAAGAAACATGAACCCAGTCTTCAGCCTCATCCTTCCTTTAACTGCACCATGGCTATTACCACTCCATCCCACCAGTGTGTGGAAGCCTGGCAGCTCAGCAAAGGGCAGAGACCTCTGCCTGCTCTGAAGGCCAGGGCGCTGTAGGAGATGCCCACCAGCATTCAGAAAAGGGTGTTAATGCTGCGGTTTCCCTTGCACCCCTGCTCACTGCTGCCACGCTGGAGATGATGGCTCTCTGCTGGGCGATGGGTAAGGTCATGGGAGTAGGAGCTCCCCTGGTTCCTCTCTGGGCTACCAGGTCTGAGACGGTAAATTTGCAATCCCTGGGCACTGCACCCATCCACCCTGGGTCTGGCGTTGGGAAGGGTGCTAGGAGAGCCGGAGCCTCGGTTCTTCGGGGTGCAATCCACCTCAGCCCCCTCCCTCCCACGCCTATGTGCTCCCCCTTCCCATCACAGCATTGCATCCCTGGGAGGGCTGTTCCTGGCTGGGAGCGTTGCCACCACAGAACATCTATTCTGCCTCCTCTTGCAGGAACTACTTCCACCTGCCGTACTTTGAGAAGAAGCCCTGCATCTACATCAAGAGCTGGTGGCAGGACCAGCGCCGCAGATTGTATAACTCCAACATCATGGACAAGATTGCAGACAAGCTGGTCAGTACGTGCTGGGGAGGGAGGGAGGGGAGGGAGGGAGGGAGGCAGCTCCGGGCATGGGGCACAGCCAGGCTCCCTGTGCATCTCTGCAGCTTCTCACAAAGCGGGGCAAACGGTGCAAGGACCCACTAGCAAACTTGTGCCAGAGAGGGGGAAGTTTCCCAGTCTTAAATGCTCCACGGTTTGAATGTCCAAATCTTAGGAGCTCATTGAATTTTCTGTGCGGCAGGCCCACGGGTCCCCACCACAGGGAGCAGGAGCAGGCAGGCTTTGTCCCCCTGGACTGCAGGGGTGAACCTCTTGTGTGGCAGAGCCTCATTAGCAGTCTCAGCTAACTCCCAAGGAGCCTTTGGGACAGCTCCATGTTGGCAAGGTCACAGTGGGATCCAGCCAAGATGGTGTGGACCTTGGCCAACCAGTCTCATGGAGGGTGGTGGAGCCATTCCCATCACCCAGAGCTGGTCCCCGCAGCCGAATCTGCACCAGACCTGAGCCCCAAAGCCAGCAGGTCTGGAGGAGCAGCCCCCCAAAGGGCTGCTCTACGGGGGGTTGGACCTCAGGGGAGACCTTGCCCCATCGCAGGGCTCTGCCCCACCGCCCCCTCACCGCTTCCCCCATTGATGCCGCAGGAGGAAGGGCTCAACGACGTGCAGGAAATGATCAAGACGGAGAAACCGCACCCGGAGCGCCGGCTCCGAGGGGTCCTGGAGGAGCTGAGCAGTGGGTGCTTGTGAGTAAAAGATGGGCAGAGGTGGTACACTGCAGACCCCTGGGCCTATGAGCAAGGTCATGAGCATAAGCTCACTTTGCCTTAGCTTCTGGAGGATGGGCAAGCACTTAACTGCGTTGCCACAGTGCCATATTAGCTGCCTTCTGGCTTGGAGCATGGGTGAGGCGGTGCTTCCATCTTCACCCCAAAGACCCCAGACCAGTGGTGAAAGCCTCAGTCTTGTGGCCTCCACAGGCTGGTACCTGATCGGCACCTACTCCCCGTGCATGACACTCAACACTGGGTGCAAAGAGGCCCCTTGGCCGTGAACGCGTTGCAGACGAGGGAGGGAGCAGGAGTGTTTCCCTCCAGTGAGGTGCTCCCCTGATGGCAGAGGTCCAACCAGCCACGGGTCCTTGGGGAGGGCCCACAGGCTCCCATGGGACCCATGCTACCCACCCTTTCCACCAGGCGCTTCATGACGTTGGCTGACAAGGACCAGCACCACTCTTCCCGCACGAGGTTGGACCGGGAGAGACTCAAGTCTTGCATGCAGGAGCTGGTAAGTGGGATTCAGCCAGGAAGGGAGGAAGATTCATGAACGGGGGCTGGACCTTGTCAACGCAACGGGGAACTTTGGTCCTTAGGCGTTCTGATTTCCAGGCTCCGTGCATTGAGGGTTTGAGGTTTATTTCTGAATAGAGGAGCCCAAGACCACTTGGGTCTTGCAGAGATGCCAGGTGGCACCTGGGCCCATGCTGCTGCCTCCCCTCCACCACGCTCTGCTTTGCCTTGGGAAGAAATCCAGGAGCACAGAGGAAGAGCTACATTGCTGTCCAACAGCTGAGGAAACTGGGAAGGAATAATTTAGGGGAACCCAGCAGAGCACAGCTGCTCTGGGGATAGATATGGCCTAGATGTTTGAGGCTGGTAGCCCAGCAAATTGCAAAGGCTGGGGATGTGCCTGGTGCTGCTGCCTTCTGCTCTTGCTAATGTGGTGTCCGGGACTCTCCTTTAACCACAGGAGAACATGGGGCAGCAAGCCGCCACTCTGCGGTCGCAGGTGAAGAAGAACACCGTGAAAGACAAGCTGAAGCTGGTGCAAAACTTCCTGCAGAAACTCCGGTTCTTGGCAGACGAGGTGAGTCCTTCCGCATCTAGAGATGGAGTTAGCTGGGTCAGTGCATGATGAGAGGAGAGCAGCCTGGGATGGGTGGGATGTATGGATGGGTGGATGGGTGGAAGGATGGGTGGATGGATGGATGGAGGGATGGATGGATGGATGGATGGATGGATGGATGGATGGATGGATGGATGGATGGATGGATGGATGGATGGATGGATGGATGGATGGATGGATGGATGGATGGATGGATGGATGGATGGATGGATGGATGGATGGATGGATGGAAGGAAGGATGGAGGGATTCATGGATGGATGGATGGATAGATGGATGGATGGATGGATGGATGGATTGTGTGGATGGAAGGATGGGTGGATGGAAGGATGGGTGGATGGATGGAGACCTCCCTGCTGACACTGTAGGCAGGAGAGATCCACGGTAGCACGAGTCTTGTGCAAGGAGCCACTCCAAGTCTACACACTGCCCCACACCTCCCAGGCTTGCCCATGCACTTCTGGCTTGGAAGGATTCAGTGCTAAAACAATTTTAAGAGCCTTTCCCAGCCAGTAACAGAGCTGGGTCCTCTCAAAGCTGAGCTGAAGGCATCTCTGCCAGCCTCAGCTGTGGTGAGGCCGTGCAGGTCCCTGGGCGATCGGCCATTGGAAGGTGGCACATGTCCCCACAGCATTAAAGCCAGCAGCAGGGAGCTGTTTCTGATCCTGGCTAGGTAGGGAGTTGTTAAAGTAAGTGGCTCTTCAGAGGGCTGTTGAATAAAGCCCTGTCCTCTTGCAGAGCTCAAACCATCTAATTTTTATTGCTGCAGTGTACTCCTGCTTCACTCCGGCTCACGGGTAAGAGATTATAATCCAATATATTAGAGTTGCTCACAGCATTTCCAAAGGGACGCTGTATCTGCAAAATATTTTTTCCTTCTTACAGAAAAAATACACCGTTCCTCTGATATTTTTTTGTTTAGGTCTGAGGCAGGCACTGGGGGGTTACTGGCCCTCGTGGGAGCTGTAGTTGTTGCACCTCCTGTTCTCATTTCCCATGGCAGGCTCCCAGCCTCAGTGACATAGTCCTTATTACAGCAAGGCTGTCCTTGGCTTTGACTCACCAGAACATAAACGAGACTGTAAGGTGTGATGGGACCTGTCTAGACAGGGAACCGCTTCCATAGTAAGGAATGAAGGTATGGCCCCTGCCCTACAGTCCCCACGGCCACTGAATGAAGAGAGAAGGAAAATCTTCTGTCTTTTAATCCAAAATTACTGGGTTTTTTAGACTAGAACAAGTGTAAATCCCAGTTTCTTTCCTGCTGAGTTTACCTCTGAGCAGCTTTTCTTAAGCAGATAAGCTTCTGCAGCGGGAGGCTCAAAACCATTTCAATGGCCCTGATGGCCACATTACAGTAGGATGTACAATAGGTACATCCACCTCCTGTGGCATCTGGTGAATTTGCCTTCAGAAGGTCTCCAGCCCTGCTGGTGCCTCAGTGGTCAGAATGAGCTGAGACACTAACAGGGCCCTTCGCTGGTGTTCACAGCCCCAGCACACTATTCCTGACATCTTCATCTGGATGATGAGCAACAACAAGCGCATTGCCTACGCCCGCGTCCCTTCCAAGGATATCCTCTACTCCATTGTGGATGAGGAGATGGGCAAGGACTGCGCCAAAGTGAAGACCGTCTTCCTCAAGGTGCTGATCTGTCTTTCCTGGGGGAACCGCAACCAAGAGGAGAGAGATGGAGGAAGGACGGATTGGGAGGTTGGGGGGATGAGGATGAGGGAGCTGTGTATCCAGTTTTTCTGGGGCGTGAATACTAGGAAAACCAGACCCGTATTCTACTGGTAGGGATGGAAGTCTGCTGCTAGGAAGCGTGAACCACTGACTTTACCCAGTCCAGTAGGTGAGAAATGTTTGGAAGGAGAGAGATGTTTGATCCAGCTGGCCACAAAAGAGGATGCTGGCTTAGAAAGAGGAAGCCAACATGGTGAGAAGAAGGTAGTGCATGAGCCAGAGTAGTGTCATGATCCAGAATGATGAGGGCTGGGTCCCCGGTTTTGAAGAGCAGCAGCACGAGCAACGCACCAGACGGAGCTGAATGCTGCAAGAGGTGGTCTGTCCGTCTCTAAGGCCCTTCCCTATATCCATGTAAACTCTCTGCCCTTTGTGCCCAGCTCCCTGGGAAGAGGGGCTTTGGACCTGCTGGCTGGACAGTTCAGGCCAAGATGGAGATATACTTGTGGCTGGGCCTCAACAAACAGCGCAAAGACTTCTTGAGTGGCCTGCCGTGTGGCTTTGAGGAGAAGAAGACTGCCAGAGGCCAAAAGCTGCCATCCTTCCCACCCATCAGCCTTCTTTACACCAGTAAGAACTTCCTGCCTGCCGTGGGTCTGGGGACAGGGTCTGGAGAGGGCAGGAGGGGGCCTGGCTCGACACCACTTGGGCCAAGGGCTTCCAGGAGCTAAGGGGGGGAAATAATTCCAGTTGTCCCTGTCTGAGGTCTCACACTACTCCAGGTGGGATGTGGGAGCTGTGCACCCTCTTCCCTACCCTGTTCGTAGCTTTCATTCTGCACATAGCAAGTGGGACACCAAGGAAGTCCCATATCCATTTGGGACTCGTGCTTTGGGCCTATACCCTTCGTCAGTGCTGGCCCTGGGCAAAAGCTTGACCCCGAGACTCGATCTGCAGGCTGAGCCCCACGGCTGGGCTCCGGGCTTGCGTGCCATGCTGTCTCACTTCCCCCTTTTCTTGCAGAAAAGCAGGTTTTCCAGTTGCGAGCCCACATGTACCAAGCAAGGAGTTTATTTGCAGCCGACAGCAGTGGCCTTTCGGACCCCTTTGCACGAGTCTTCTTCATCTCCCAGAGCCAATGCACCGAGGTAAAAGCCATCTCCTGACCTGGAGGGCTGGGCTGGGCTCTGGCGTCGCATGTCCCAGCAGCTCTCCGTCCTGCTCCCCTGCCACAGGTCTCGTGGCTGCTAGTGAATCAAGGATTAGGTTGATCGTGGGGTCCTGGGGTGGGGAAGCAACCACAGCACTGGGGCTTGACTGTCTCCAGGAGCCCCTTCCCCAGGAGCACCTTCACAGCAGGTCCCCCCTCACCATCACACAGCTTGTCCCGTGTCCCTGTGGCCGTGATTCACCTGCCTGGTTAGGAGAAACTAGCTCATGTTGAAGTGGCTTTTGTGTCTTTCCTTCCCAGGCTGAGGGCTGCCGAGCTTTAGCAAGCCTGGTGGACACTGGAAAAGGTAGAAGACGTCCCTGCCCGTGGCAGGAAGGTTGGAACTAGATGATCTCTAAGGTCCCTTCCAACCCAAAGCATTCTATGATATGATTCAGTGATATAATTTGTGTCTGCTTGCCTGCTGTTGGGGATTTTTTTTTCTCAGAAGAGTCCTTGGGAGATAGCCCATGACTCACTGTTCAAAAAAAAATGCGCAGCAGCCCACTAGCTCTGCCAGACCAGCACCCAGTCTGCTGCCCTTAGCCCCTGTCTGGAGCAGTAAGTGTCTCTCCCATTCTTCCAGGTTCTCAATGAGACCCTTTGCCCAACCTGGGACCAGCTGCTGGTCTTTGACAATGTGGAGCTCTATGGAGAAGCCCATGAGATGCGGGATGACCCTCCCATAATTGTCATTGAGATCTATGACCAGGACACAGTGGTAAGATGAATCCCAGCAAAGGAAAATGTTTACAATTTAGATGCTGTGATCGTTCCTGAGTCAGGAGGATGGTGCGGAGGGTGTGAGAAGCAGCTTTTCTCCTGACCCTTGGAAGATGGTCTGCCTCACATCTCCCGTGGCACGAGCAACCTCTGCTGCTCATTAGATCTCAGACTCAACTTGATGATACCTTACTTTTGGAGAGTGAAGCAAGAGCTTTTGCAAGGCTGGAGGCAAGGAGATATTACCTGAGCCTTTCCCTTTAGAAAAGCTGCTCATCCCTGGCCCCCTTGCTGTCCCAGCCCTAGGCCACCTCCTTCACCATCTTTGAAGAAGCCGGGAGTGAAAACTGTTGCTGAGCTTGGGTGTCCCAGGCCCAGCGGGCTGCTCCTGTTCTGACCACGATGGGGAGAGCTTGGGGGGGGCTACCCTGGGAGACCTCCTGTTGGGTCAGCAAACCCGAGCGCTCTCTTCTCTCCAGGGCAAAGCCGACTTCATGGGCCGCACCTTCGCCAAGCCGGTGGTGAAGATGTCAGATGAGGAGTACTGCCCCCCGCGCTTCCCCCCGCAGCTGGAGTACTACCAGATCTACCGTGGCAACTCCACCGCCGGCGACTTGCTGGCTGCCTTCGAGCTGCTCCAGGTACCAGCTGGCCAAAGCCACCTCAGACCGGGGGAGGGAAAGGATGGGATGGAGGGGTGCGAGGGAGCAGGGCTTAACCCGTGCTTATACCTCTTAGGTGCTTCAAAAAACAAGTAGTTCATACATCCCAGAAAAGCTAGAAGGGTTTAGCACAGCTACTAACCCAGTGAGAGGGCAGCTCCTGCCCAGTGATGCTGGTCAAGATGGTGTGCAGTGAGTCCCAGGTATCCTTCTGGACAGGACACCCCACTAAATGTGTTGTGTTTAGCCCAAACTCTCTACAACACCACTGGGATACGGGAGATGCCAATGGGAGTCCTGGTGTTCCTCGGGATGCCAGTTGGAAGGTCTCAGGAAAATGGGGTGTAAATTCATAGCAGCATCCCAAGAATATGGTGAAATTTTAGCCTCGTAGTCCGTGGGGGTAGCAAAGTTGAACTCTCCCACTTCCGTGCCTCCTTTGCCATACGCTGAAACTGTTGTATTTGCTCCTGGGCTGAGCTCTTGGACCATTTCTACATTTCTCTTCACACTCACCCCAGGCAGACGCAACTCCTTGCTGGAAGAAAAGGAAACAGCCCTGGGGTTGGGGTGTGTTGGTGGGCTCAGAAGTTTGCTTTGCTGCTGGGTCTGTCCTGCGTGGAAGCACAGCCCTGCCCAGCACCTTCTGCTCGTGCGTGTGCCTTTCCCCAAAGCACGGCACAGTCAGATGGGTGCTCAGCCACCCCTGTTGCTCCTGCACCCTCTGAGACAGCACAGACCCGATGCGTGGGACCAGGGTGTGCTGCTCACAGCTGAGACCAACAAAAAGCTGCTTCCCAGCAGCTGAGCACCGGCTCAAAGGAGCAGATCCTAATCCACGCTTGCATCTCTTCCAGATTGGCCCTGGGGGCAAGTCAGACCTGCCCCCAATTGACGGCCCCACAGACATGGACCGGGGCCCCATCCTGCCGGTGCCACTGGGGATTCGGCCGGTGCTGAGTAAATACAGAGTGGAGGTAATTGCCCTGGAGCACCAAACTTTAATGTTCATCATTGTGTGGGGCAGGAGAGCCTTGCCCACGGGTGTTTGAAGGCCAGGAAGGATCTCTGAGGTGCTGGGGACTACCTGGGCACCAAGATCAGATGTCTGCACTGCGAGGATCTGTTTACTTGCCGCACAGGCAGCCCGGAAAGAACAGGCAACCAGATCACTCCTTGCTGTCTTAAATGTGGGCACCGTAGCAAGTCAGTGGCAGTGGGGCTGAGACGCAGCGCAGGGCACGTTAGAGATACACGTGTAACACGTCTCCAGCCCCCTAGGTCAGGTAAGCTGCATCCCACCCATCTCGGGCATCCAGGACAGGATGCTTCTCATGTATCTGTAGATATCGAAAGGGTGATGCGTCCAGTGAGGGTCCCTCTCCCTTGGATGTCTTGGTAGACGGTGGTGATCCAGGCAATGCAGCCAGCGGTGTTCGGTGCACAGTGCACCCACGGCTGTCAGGTATCTCTGCTCGGGTGAGATGCTGCTGACCAGGTCTCTAGAGGGATGCCAACTCTTGGTCTTCCAGGCGTTTGCATCTGGTTAAATAAATTGCATTCTTCTGATGTGCAAGGTGAATAGAGCCATGGGGAATCAGGAGGTGGAAAAAGCTCAGTTTATGGAAACTTTTAGTCATGGTGGCGGTCTGTTATCCCAAGAAGGGAGAGGCAGTTTCCTCGGTGATACTGATATAATTTTGACAAAATGATGCCAGTGCTGAATCAAGAGCCACTGTGGATGGACAAAGCTGGTCTGGTCCTGCTTTGTGAAGTCACACGGCAGAAAAAGGCAAGAAAAGGAGAAAGGCAGAAAAGGGACCACCGAGGACACCAGGTTGGAAGTCCTGGGCTGCTGCAGATCAGGTGGGGGGTGGGTTATGTGGAGTGTCAGAGGTAGACTATGCTACAGCCCTGAGCCATGTGGAAGAGGAGAAGATACCTCAGAGATCCACCACTGCCTGAACGATGACATTTGCTGTAGGGTCCCTGCTCCTGGGGGATGTGGAGAGCCAACTCCTTTGACTCTAGCCTGGCCCCAGCCAGGGGCAGTCCTTCTCACATTCATGTTCTTCCTTCTCCTCCTCCTGCCCTAGATCTTGTTTTGGGGGCTCAGGGATCTGAAGAGAGTGAACCTGGCCCAGGTGGACCGGCCCCGTGTGGACATTGAGTGTGCTGGGAAGGGAGTCCAGTCATCCCTCATCCAGAACTATAAGAAAAACCCCAATTTCAGCACTTTGGTCAAGTGGTTCGAAGTGGTGAGTGTTTCCTCTTCCCCCTGAGCCCTCAGCTGAGACCCAGATTTCCTGGAGTCCACACCATGACCCCTAGCCCCTTGCTTCAGTTGCCCCTCGGCGGTGGAGGATGTGAGCACCATGCCAGTTGGTGATGGCCTTTCTCCAAGGGCCCCCAAGCCACGGTTTGCTGGAGATGCTCTAGACCATTTCCACCAGCATCATCCCCGTTTTAGTCCCTACTGACCTTTCCAACCACCAAAGGAGACATCCCGCAGCCCGCACCCAGCCCTTGATAACCAGCACACCTTTGCTTCCCAGGACCTCCCAGAGAACGAGCTGCTTCATCCACCCCTCAACATTCGGGTAGTGGACTGCCGGGCTTTCGGGCGTTACACCCTGGTGGGGTCCCACGCCGTCAACTCCCTCCGAAAATTCATCTACCGCCCACCAGATAAGAAGGCTGAGCACTGGAATATGACAGGTACCAGGCTTGGGCCATAGGGGCCTGACTGGTATGGGTCGTCGATGGGGCATGGAAAAGAGGGAGGTGGGTTGTAAGGACCACGGGACATTGCCTGCTTGTTGGTTAAGGAAGCAGTGCTTCAGGGTTTGGGTCCAGGGGGTGAGAAGGCACAGGGTGAGGCTGTGAGTCACCTTGAATTTTTTGATCTGTGGGTCTCACCGCGATAACTGCGTGCTCCCCCTGATGCCCATAAGACAAGAAAGGCTGGTTCACCTCTAACATCTCTACGGCTTCATGACTCTAGACTCCCCAAATGTTCCTCGAGACTGGGAGGTGAATTTGTCGTGCTCCGTGCCTGCTGCCGCTTTGAGTAAATACTAGAAAGCTAGATTGGGGCTGGGGGGTGGTCACCCTCTCAATCCCAACTGCCACCCCGTCTGAACTGCCCACAGAGGAAAACATCACAAACCCACTTTCCTTGGACCCAGCACAGCAGCCATGGGCTTGGTGAGCCCCAGGAATTGCTCATCTCCTTCCAGTTGTTGGTGGGAGCGGAGACACTCTCAGCTGGGCAGAGACAGGAGGTCTGGGGGGGCGATTGCCAAGGGCCATCCCTGGTTCCAAGCAGAGGTCTGGGCCTGTGATTGTGTCCATGACAGATGATACGTTCAGGGCAAGCATCTTCTCTGCCTCTTCTCCTCTGAACACTAGTGCAAAGGAAAAAAGCAATCCTTTCTCATCGTCTGCTTTCCTTTGCTATGGAATGTTTTTTTTTGAATCCTGCTTTTTTCCCTCACTCTTCTCTGAACAAGGTGGTCACACATCACTCCTACCTGAATCCTGTAGGATCTCACCTGAGCTCTTAGTTTCTCCTCTACACTATCCTTCTCTCTTGTTCTTTCTTTCTCTGTCCTCTGTTCAGCTAAACACTTCAACGGTTATCTGGCAACGGCCAACAGGGCCCATCGCTCTCGCCCCACAGGGGAGATCGTTGTCAACATGGAACCTGAGGTTCCCATCAAGAAGATGGAGACGATGGTGAAGCTGGAAGCTGTGAGTATCTGTATGTCACTTCAGCATCTCTTTCCTCACTGACTTGCCAGTCTTTGAGGGATTCCACCCAAACAGAGGCCACCTTCTCCAGCTGAATGTGGAGTTGGGCTGATGCCTGGAATGAAGGGCTTTAGATCATTGTCAGTCCGACAAATTGGCCTCTTTCTGTCCTCTCTGAATTTAGCCGGTGCTTGCCGCGCAGAAAAGGACTGTCCTGGGCTATGCAAATTAGACAGCTTTATGTTTTCCTTAAAAACAATCAGATGGGACTGAGCACCCACACGCACAACCCTGTCCCTATCTCTGACCCACACAGACACAAGTGACCCGTCAGAAATGCTGTAGTGGTCAGCTCGGGGGCTCCCAACAGCAGAAGGACCTGGAGCTGCTCGAGCGGGGCCAGAGGAGGCCACGAAGATGCTGGGGGGGCTGGAGCAGCTCCCCTGGGGGGCCGGGCTGAGAGAGTTGGGGGGGTTCAGCCTGGAGAAGAGAAGGCTCCGGGGGGACCTTCGAGCGGCCTCCCAGGGCTTAAAGGGGGGACAGGAGAGGTGGGGAGGGACTCTGGATCAGGGGGTGGGGATGGGATGAGGGGGGACGGTTTTAAGCTGAAAGAGAGTAGGTTTAGGTTATATATAAGGCAGAAATCCTTCCCTGTGCGGGGGGTGAGGCGCTGGCCCAGGGTGCCCAGAGCAGCTGTGGCTGCCCCCTCCCTGGAAGGGTTCAAGGCCAGGTTGGACGGGGCTGGGAGCCCCCTGGGCTGGGGGAAGGGGGCCCTGCCCGGGGCAGGGGGGGGCACTGGGGGGGATTTAAGGTCCCTGCCAACCCAAACCGGTCTGTGATTCGATGATGAATTCCCCATCCCCACAGCTGCAGTGACCCTGCCCTTTCACAAAGCACTGCACGCTGCCCAGCCTCTGCAAGCACCCAGGCTCATGCAAATTTCCCTGATGTTTTTTCCTTTTTACAAGCACTTTGAGACATTCAGATGCCTACGTCAGCTCCTAGAAATACCCCTTCAGCTCTCTGAAATTCCCATTCAGCAATCCAGAGGGGTGGTCAGCGCGGTGTCGCTGCACAGCAGTTCTGAGCCAAACGGGACGCAGCAGATGCTCAGAGCTGGCCTGGGCACACAGAGTCAATCTGAGGCAGCCGAAGCTCTTCAGAACAATTGTGGATGCCATGAAAATTTGCCGCTGTAGGCATTGGACAGCCAGTGTGTCCCAGAGGCATCAGGCTTTTTTCACACACTGAATGTGCTTGTGCCCATTTTCTTGCCCACGACAGCAAATTCAGCTCCTCCTCATGCCCTTCTGCTCCAGAGCTTCCTCCACAAAAAGAATCAGATTTCTTTTTTTGCAGGAGGCCCTTTGCGAGAACATGCACACACGACCCCCTGCCCCGACAAGCAGCACATGTACATACATGCCTACGGGCATGTTGTGGTCTCCAAATACACGTGGGCCCTCACGTGTGCGTATTTACAGAAAGGCTATGGCCCGTACGAAGCCCCACCAGCGCACATGTGCAGACACATCCATGCACCCCACGAGGTCCCTGGTGCATTCGTATAGGCAGAGCTCCTCGCACGTGCACAAGAAGCTGTATCACGTACGCCTGCTCGCACCGCCTCACGCGAGAGGAGCTACAGGAGGGGTGTGCGTGGACAGGTCCCAAACACCCCGACACCCACGCGCTTCTTGAAACCCCCCACAGTGACTTGTAGACCTTCCTAGGCAGACAAGCCCCAAGGGAGCAGAGGAGCGTTAGCCACGCTGAAGTCCAAGGTGTCTCTCCAGACCTAACCCATCCCTGTCAGGGACTGGGGTTGTCCCTTAGCGAGGAGCAAGAGGGAGGTCTCCCGGGCGGAGGTGGGTTGCTGTGTCATGGCAGAGCATCTCCCCTGTATGCAGAGCTTTCCCGGCCAGGGCTCTTCATTCCAGGCGTTCGGTTCCTTCACCCCTGGGGAGCTCCGTGACCTCTTTGTGCATGCGTGTGCTCCCGCTCGGCCGAGGCCGTGCTGCTAACCCGCTCTCCCTCTTCCCTCCCACCCCGGGGCCGCAGAATTCCGACGCAGTGGTGAAGGTGGACGTGGTGAGTGATGGACCTGCTCTGCATCCCTGCTCCCAACCCTCCACACCCCGCCCCTACCCTTCTGTGTGGCTTTCATCCACGGACCGTACATCCTCACCAACCCCAAGCGGGGCGGGGACCGGCACCCCTTCATCCCCAAAGCACAGACAGCGCCGCGTTGTCTCGTCAGTAGATGTGGCGGTGGCCCGGTTCCTGCAGACTGGGAAGCTCTTCTGAGCCAGCGCTCCTCAGCCCAGCTGTCCCAGGAGGAGCAGGGCAAACGGGACCCTGTGGGAGAGCTGCTGGTTATTCCCACCACAACCAGTTACCAGTTGCAGAGGGCTTTGCTGCACCCCTAAGTGGCCCCAGGGTGCTTTGCTGGGCAGAGGGAGGATTGCTCCCGTGTAAGATTGAGGAGCTGCAGCCCGGGAAACACATGGATGAAAGGGGTGATGGAAAGGAGGGGGTGGCTCGGGACTCCGAGATCCTTTGGGCACCTTGCTTTGCTGCTCCGTGCCTCAGTGTCTGCAGCTGTAGGAGGGGAAAAAGGGTAACGAGGCCACCCAGCCTGGAGGGTTCTGCCTTCTCAGGTGCTTCACTTTTGCACTTCAGGAGACATTTCCCTTTCATCTGATCCCTCTTCTTCTCTGTCTTTGCTTCCCTTTCCCCTGAAGACTGAGGAAGAGAAGGAGAAAAAGAAAAAGAAGAAGAAAGGAGGAGAAGAAGAAGAGGAAGTGGAAGAGGAGGAGGTGGACGAGAGCATGCTGGACTGGTGGTCCAAGTATTTTGCTTCAATTGAGACGCTGAAGGAGGTGGGTGCAGAGCAGAGGAGGGGTGTATGTAGAGGGGGAAGAGGAAATTGCTGTTTCCTCTCTGCAAGGTCTCACCTATTTCCAGCTACTTCCAAGGGCTTGGGGCTGTGCTGCTTGCTTTGCTAACCTTGCCTGCCTGTTGGCAAGGGGGTTTTTTACCTGGCAGAGCTGAGCAGGATTCCTTTTCCTTGAGTGCATTCTGGGTGGACTTCGTGACTGGTTTGTACTCAGACACGGATATTTAACAGCATCAGTGCAGCAGGCTGCACTGAGCAGCTTTGATTTCTCCAGCACTGCCAGAACCAACCTGGTAGCTCAGATGGGAACGTTACCCGAAAAGCGGATTCATGCCTGGTGTACACTAAGCCAATCTTTCCCACAAATCAAGCACTCCTAACAACGGGTTTTGGTGTTTCTTTTATACACAAAAATGAGAAGTTCGTACTTTTCCAAACGTGCCTACTAGATACTGATTGGTTAGTGATTAACATACACTTATAATACAGCTTACATGATGCTTCTTCTACTAGGCATGCTCATGGGAAGGGTCTTAAACTGGGCAGGGGTCTCTTTGACCTATGGGTGTGGTTTTTAGAATTATAATGAAGGTAGTTCACTTTCAGGACACTCAAAAGTTAGTTTAATTGCCAAGTTACTTTGTCAAATAGTCATAGTCGCTTTGCCAGGTTGTCAGATAACTCATCCCCAGCCATTCTCTTTATGGTCCAGGATGTTCTGCATATTGTTTGGAGATCAAAGTCTGTTCTTTATGAGTTTCTTCTCGCTAATCAAGGTCAGCTTGTTCAAGTCTCACTCGGCCAAGCTTCAAAACTCATAATTGTCCCATATGTGCGGTAACCATAGCTACTAGCACAATTACTAACCACGGCTTCTAGCAAACGTGAAGTACGCTATATCAGGAAGAGCGAGCTGTGACCCTGAGTTGGGCATTTCCAGTGAGCACAGAGACCTCGGCGCAAGCACCCACTCCCTGTTCGCTTCATTTCTCCCCCAGCAACTCCGGCAGCAGGAAGCAGCCGCAGCAGAAGCAGAGGAGAAGGAAGAACTGGAGATTGCAGAGGGTAAGCGGGTTGCGAACGAGAGAGGGAGCGTGGCAGGGCCAGGTGGGACCAGGACTCCTTTTGGTGCTTGAGCATCCCTTTCGGAGCTCGCCGCTGCTCTTCTGCCAACGCCTTCTACGTCCCCGTGCAGGATCCATTCCTGGGAATGCAAGCCCAGTGTTGGGTTAACATGCTAATGCCAGGTTGGATCCAAACCGGAGCGTGGTGGTGTGGCAGCCTCCAGCCCACGTGCAAGTGGTGCAGACTAGCGACCAGGGTCCGTGTTGCTCTCCAAGGATGGTTTTGTGCTGTCACAAGTCAGTACGTCGTTAAAAGTCCCGTCGCTCTGGCCCTGCAGAGGCTTTAGCTACAGGACCATGTGCTTGAAGTCTGCTGAGCTCCCCAAGGAACAGATATTTCTAGATCACCTTCACTGGGGTTTTCCGTCCTCGTTTCGCAGGAGGCTTGAAAATACTTTATTTTGCTCCAGTTTTGCAAGGGAAGCTTCAACCAGACAAAAGGTCTGAGTGCTTTTACCTGCACGTGGGGGCCTCCTTGTCTGCTTTTCTAGCACAAGCACTGAAGAAAAATATGGACTTTTAGGGCGAGTTCTCTGACCTATTTCCAATGCTATGTTAGAATGAGATAAATTGTGACCTAAATGCAGTTTTCTCTGAAGGAAGTCGGGGGGTCTGTAGCTCAGATGGGGTGTTGCAGATGTCTAAAGTTGGGTGAGATGAATTTTGTACCACAAGCGATGTGGGCCAAGAATACTGGTGAGCCAGGACATGTTGGTTAAGGGTGACTTGGTCCACTTGCAGCCTGGACCCTCCTTGCCAGTCCCACCGGTGGGGCTTGGAGGGGTTTCTCTGAGAATTTTCACCCATGCTTTCCATGTGTCCCACCTCCCTGTGACAGTGGGTTGCTGTCATGCCCAGGCAATGCAAAATCTGTTAAAAGCTGAGAAAAATACAGAGCCTGATTTCTTTTGTAAAACTAGTCTTCATATGATGAGAAAGGTGAGGCCGAGTCTTGCTGAGCTTGGAGACAACTCTGAGCAGCTTCTGCCTGGGCTTGTTGTCATGGCAGGGCTTCTGGGGGGGGGGGGGGTCTCATGTCCTCCGTTGTTTTCTTTCTGTCTGCTAGGAAGGATCCATTCCCCTTGGCACTCCCATTCCTTCCTCCTTTCCTCTTCCACATTCAGTCCTCGTCATCTGTCTGTCCCCATCTGCATTGCCCAGCAGTGATGAAAGCTGGCAGAGGCAGTGAGGGACGGGGATTGTAGAGGGGTGGGAGATGTTTTCCTTGAACGTGCCTTTCCAGGCAGCCTGTTCCTGGTGTGGTTGATGTCCCTGGCTGGTGGTTTCTCTGAACAGAGCCCCTAACAACCTGTTGTTTTAGCTGGTGATGGGCAACACCTCTCTAAGGGCAGAGCCTGTGCTCTGGTGCTGAGCATCAAGCACTGTCCCCTCTGCGACACCTAGGTTGGGGTTTTATTCTCCAGGCTGCACACAGCAGGAAAAGTCTCCAGTGGGAGGAAGAAAAGGAGATGCTGCGAGCAGGATCAGGTCTTCTCCCTGCTGTTGAAGCTAGCCAGAGCCTAGCACTCTGTCTGTGTTTCGTAGTCCTCCAAATGACTTCTGCTCAGGTCAGCTCTGGAAGTTCCGTGCACGGAGAAGCCTGGGCTCCTGGAGATGCTGCACCCTGGGCAGCAGTGGCTGGAGCCAAGGAAAGACAGGAGAGGGCTGGGGTGGGAGTTGCAAGCAGAAGCAGCTGCCAGTTTTCATGCTGCTCCTGTCTGAAGGACTTTGATCAAGTCTCCCCTCCCTGTCTCCTCCACCCCTCCTCACTGACATTTCCATCTCCTCCCTCCCCGCTGCTCCCCTCGGACCCAGAAATCAAACTTGATGACTCTTCCATGAAAGGGTCCAAGGGTCAGGCGAAGAACAAGGAGAAGTCCAAGGCACCCAAAGAGGATAAGAAAAAGAAGCAACAGTCAGGCCCCGAGCTTCCTGAGAAGGAGAAGAACAAGAAGCAGAAGGTTGACGAACTGAAGGTGCGTGTGTGGGCAGGGGAGGAGGAGACCCTGCCTGCTGGAAGTCTGGCAGGATGGCAGTCCCAGCCGCCTGGAGATCAGGGCGGGATGGATCAACCCTGCATGAGGCACCTTGCCTCTCGAGGGGTATCCCACCCTCGGTGAGACCTGCCTTGGGGCTGCCAGCTTCTCTCCATAGTTTGAAGGAGTCAGAGATAACAAGCTTTGCAGGAAAAGGGTTGCCCTGGGATAGGATCATCCTTGGGGCAGCTTGGATGTGCCCTGGCTGGAGGGGAGAGTTTTCCAGCCTAGCCATGACTTGCCCAGCCAGGACTCAGGGCAGGGATGGGATCTGGTCGATGTGCTGGCCCGCGGTGATTGTTAGGATTCATGTAGTCTGTGATTTGGAGTTTGAATCTGGGTCTTGCCCAGAGCGGGGACAGCCACCTCGCCCATTCAGCTGAGCTTCCCTCTTGTACGTTATCAGTTTGGGGAGGTGGTTGTGGCATCAAGGTCCAACCCGATGACCCTGGAGATCCTTTCCCTTCCTAGAGAATTGGGCACTGGGAGCTGAAGAGTCCATGTTCCCTCTGAGTCAGTCACCATATCTTTTCCTCGCTTTTTTTTTTTTTTTTTTTTTAACCTAAATCTTTAACTTTCTGTCATCTCAGATCTTCCACAAGGAGCTGGAAGCAGAGTTTGATAACTTTGAGGACTGGCTGCACACCTTCAACCTGCTCCGTGGGAAGATTGGGGACAACGATGACAATTCATCAGAAGAGGAGCGAATAGTGGGGAGGTTCAAAGTGAGTTTGGTTTGTCCCAGGGCAGGGGCAGCTTGAGGAGCTCTTGCCCACAGGTTTCTCTGCTGGGGCTGGTTTAGAAGGAAGGGGTTGGATGCGCCAGAAACCAGTTTACACTGACCCAACTGGGAGGGGAACCCTCCAAGGGTGGCTCCAGCAATCAGGCAGCTTCAGAGAATGCATCCACAGAGGTGGTGATCTGCAGGCAAGCAGAGCCTTGATGGTTCTGACAGAAGGCTAAGGGAAAGTCAGCTCCTCTTTCTTGCCCACTGTGGAAATAAGTCGTGCCCTGGTTTATCTCTGTGAACAATTTTTCACCGATACCGGTCACCATGTTGCACCACCGCCAGTCCCCAGGAAATGTAGGAGCACACATCAGCTATAAGGCTCTTGGACAAGAACCTCTCTGAGGGTGTGATCCTGGCCAGGTGGAGCCTGTTGATGCAAGTTTTTCCCTTTGTTTGCTTAGCAGAGGAGACGAACAGGCAGTTCCCCGCTTTAGCTAGCATCAGATGCTTCAGGAGCATAGAAATCAGCAGTGTTTCATGTGGCAGTTCCCAGATTTTCCAGCCCATCCCCTGTCAACCCTTTTATTCTCATTGCTTTTGTCCTCGTGTCAGTTCTTCTCTTGAGAACCCCTGTGCATGAGCTCCTTGCTAGCCTGATTCCCCGGCAGGCCTCCTTCCCTTTGTCCAGTTTCTCTGCTCGTGGTTGCAGCTCCTGAACTGGTGCTTGTGCGCTGGAGGAGTTTTCCAGATCTGGCCTGTCTGCTCCAGGACGTGGCCAAAAACAAGGGCAGTGACTTCAGGGTCTTCAGGAAGGGTGGTTTGGGCAGGACTCTCATCGGGCCGCGCACTCCTTCGCACTAGGGCTCCATGTGCGTCTACAAAATGCCGCTCCCTGATGATATCACCAAGGAGGCAGGATACGACCCCAACTTCGGCATGTTCCAGGGGATCCCCAGCAACGACCCCATCAACGTGCTGGTCCGAGTCTATGTGGTACGGGTGAGTATGACCGTGCGGTGTGGTAGGGCGTGATCCTGCGCTCCCTTCCAGAGCGCGCATCCAGGAGCAAGTCCCCGAGCTGTGGAGACGGTGGGTTTGAGCTCTCGGTGCATCAGGGCCAAGGTCACAGCATGAGGACTGAAGCAGCTCGGTGGTGGGGCCTTGAATAGCTGTGTGCTCCAAGCACTGGGACCAAGGCAGATCCAAGCTCCTGCCAGATCCAGAGACCTCTCTTCTGGTACGTGGGGTGGACCGGCGTGTCTGTCCTAGCGCTTAACTGAATTGAATAATTTGGATCAGCCTGGACTGTGAGGTGCTGGTTCCTTACACAGCCACGACACCTCGGGAGTGTTTCAGAGCAGAGCAGAATGGGACCTGGCAGAGGCTAGTAGATCCAGTTGAAGGACATGGCACCTCCTTGGACGTGCACTGCGTGGTTATTGATCTGATCCAGCTAATCACTTTTCTTTTTATAGGGAGTGTGCTCTGGAAAAAGTCTTTTCCTGACCCCTAAATTAGTCATCCTTGCGTCCCTGAGCATGCGTACCGTGGCCAGGCACTGAGAGGGTGCTCAGTCCTGCTGGAAGCACCTGGGCTGCTCTTCATCACCACCTTGTCCCAGTATTTTACAAATGCAACCTACTTTTGGCTGCATTTCCCACCAGCCTGATTCTCCATCCAGTACTGCAGCCCCCCCACCCAGTGAGGTGACGAGTGGCCCATCCATCACCAACAGACTGAAGCTGCAATAAGAGACACCAGCCCGGTCGGCACCAGCACCAACGAGGGCTGGCTGGATGCGTCCTGGCATGGGCACCTGCTGTTGTGTGCCATGGTGGAGTTTGGGACTGGAGAGTTTGGGGACACTCACCCCCTTTATGAGGAGAAGCCCTAAGGCCTTGGCCCTAGTGAGTGAAGAGACCAGGAGGGGAAGGGAGAAGTCTTCTCGACATCTTGGTCGGGTTGTTGCTCTGGGTCTTTCTTTAGAGGAGCCTGTTTCTTTCCACTGGTGAGAGAGATGACAAAGGAGACCGTGGTTATTTCTCTGATGGGACACAGCCAGCCTCAACCCATCCCCAAACCAGGACAGGGATTAACACAAGGCAGGACTTACGCCCGGTTTAAACCAAGCCACTCTATTTAGGAGGGCCACGGAGCTTAGCCACGTGCTTATGGCCAGGCAAGGCCAGGCGGTCTCAGGGATGGAGAGCAGGGCCCTCCCTGAATTTTTTGCTACTGTGGATGGCACTGACATATCTCATCTGTTCTCTGCAGGCCACGGACCTTCACCCAGCTGACATCAATGGGAAGGCTGACCCCTATATTGCCATCAAGCTGGGGAAGACGGACATCAAAGACAAGGAGAACTACATCTCCAAGCAGTTGAACCCTGTCTTCGGAAAGTGAGTTGCCCCGGCCCTGTTACCTGTTTGCACCTGGAAGTGGTGAGCTAAACCTGAGCCAAGCTTGCCAGCCCTCGGACCTGCACCCCAGCCATCCCGCAGCTGCTCTTTGGGCTCAGCAGATGGGACTCATCACACAGAACTTTCCTTGCAAGCAGTGCAGGCATCCTCATTTCAGCCATCTGTCCTCCTTTGCCAAGCAGCATGGTCAATATAGTAAAAGGCATTCAAGGGACATCCATATCTGATCAAGATTAAGTGCCTACTTTAGGAATCATTGGGCTTGAACTCCGTGAGGGTATGGCCTGGCTCTCCAGTGACACATAAACTTAGTTTCAGGGCTGTTGAGACGTCCAGGTCAAGCAATCGCCTCCTGTCTAGAGCTGCTGGAGATGAAACAGCCCACACAGAGATTTAATTAAAACCCTTACCTCAAACGCCCTGCCGTGGTAGAAGCAAATCAAACACTGTCCACAGACCGGAGCAGACCCACCTCACCCGTGTGTCTGTCTTGAGTAGCAGCCAAGCCCTTCAACAGCTTTTCTCTTTCCCCTCTCCTGCTTTCCCCTGGCCTAGGTCCTTTGACATCGAGGCCACCTTCCCCATGGAGTCCATGCTGACGGTCGCCGTGTACGACTGGGACTTGGTGGGGACTGACGACCTCATTGGAGAGACCAAGATCGATCTGGAGAACCGCTACTACAGCAAGCACCGAGCTACTTGCGGGCTGTCACAGTCTTACTCCATGTATGAGCAAAGCTTTCTCTGCCCAACCTTCTGCCTAGACCCATGCCTGTCTCCTCTTCCACACCAAGCCTACATCCCCTGCAGGAATGTCCCTCCTTTGTTGCCTGCTAATGGAGGAGTCTGTGCACTACCTTCACTCTTAAGACGGGTTTTGTGACCAGCAGAGCAGGGCAGCAGTGGAGCAGGTTGTAAGGAGCCCAGGGCTGGGAGGGGAGGACTCAGGGGCACTGGTGGATCTGGGTAGAGGGATGAGGCCACTGCTGAAATAGCAGGAGACCCAACGGAGCGATGCTGAGCATCTCAGTGGGGGGCACTGAGAACTTCAGGTCTGAGTCAGCACGGAGTAAAGGGGCCGGGGTGGAAGGGTGTTAGCAAAGTGTAGGGTGGTGGCACAGAGGGACCTAGTCTGCTCTAAAGTTTCACGTTTGCTGCCTCAGATCCTTTCCCCGTGATTCCCGGGACCTTCATGGCAGGAGCATTTCTTTTGCGGGCAGAGGGGAACAAAATCGCTTTGTCCTCCAAATCTTGCTACGACTTCACTGACTTTGCCCTCCTATTCACAGATATGGTTATAACACCTGGCGTGACCCCATGAAGCCCTCCCAAATCCTGTCCAAGCTGTGCAAAGAGGGCAAGGTGGACGGGCCGCACTTTGGGCCAGGAGGAAGAGTGAAAGTTGCCAACAGGGTCTTCACTGGCCCCACGGAGATTGAAGATGAAAATGGTACCTTCCCCATGGGATGAAGTTGTGGAGGGGAACAGGGGTCTGGGGTGTCCCCCTCCTCATCTAGGATTGGAGACAGACTTAGTGGCCCCCCCACCCCAAAGCAGCCCTGCAATCATTCTCCACCCATCACCTTAAATTGACTTTTCAGTAGGTGACCAGTTAGACAGAGTCTTATGGGCCACTCAGGCCAGCGGGTTGCTCTCAGAATCGCTCACGGACATCCGTGGGATAGTGTCACCAAAGCTGCCTTTGAAAGCTTCCTTCTGGAAGCGTATGCCCAAGGAGCAATGCAGACAGCCCACCCTGGCCTTTCCAGGCTTTAGGAAGCCATTCTCCGTGTAGCTGCATCCCCAAACCATGGTGGTTGTCCCAACGCACTCGTGTGTGCTCAAGAAAGAGGGAGGCAGGCCAGGAGGGGTGCAGAAGAGGAGGAGGACGTGGTCCGTGGATATGGAGCTTGTTCAGCCTGGGAAAACACAGGCTGGCAGGGGAGCTGGACCTTCTGTAAATGATTACTAAGGTTAGAGAGGAGAAGGAGAGGAGTTAGGACGTGTTGGCTGAAGGACAGAGTGAACACAAGGAAATGGAGAGGGATAGCTGGTAGGCAGCTCTGCTCCCGTGGAGTAGAGGTCGAGGAACGGGGCTTTTTGCTGTCGCTGGTGTGCGTGTCTGCCCAGTTCTCCGAGCTCAGCCCTCCCTTTGCCCGCACAGGCCAGAAGAAGCAGACAGATGAGCACCTGGCCCTGACTGTGCTGCGTCACTGGGAGGACATCCCCCGGGCGGGCTGCAAGCTGGTCCCCGAGCACGTGGAGACGCGGCCGCTGCTGAACCCTGACAAGCCGGGCATCGAGCAGGTCCTCGGAGGCCCGGAGCAGGAGCGGAGGCAGCGCTGCAGAGCCTCCTCCGGGCAGGGAGCGGGGACGCCAGCTGGGCAGAGCAGCCACAACCCACCTTGTCGTGGGCAGCGGAGGCGGGAGAGGCATCCTGCAAAGGCTAAATCCCCAGTGCCTCTCCCGCTCCAGCCTGTGCCCCCAGGCCCCTTGGCCCCCTGACTCCCCACGCCCATGCACCTCGGCGTCACGCCGTGCCGTGCCGTGATTCTGCAGAGGGTGGGAAAAGGGCTCGTGGCACAGGGGGAACCCTGCCCTGCCCCACATCTGGCATGGCCAGACTGATGTTGACGGGCAAGAAAATCTGGCGGAGAGGGCGGGGTGGAGGGGGGACACACTGCTGAAGGGGGGTAAGGAGGGACTGGGGGGGCTGACTGCACCTCTCCAACCTTGCAGGGTCGCCTGGAGCTGTGGGTGGACATGTTCCCCATGGACATGCCAGCGCCCGGCCCTGCCATTGATATTTCTCCTAGGAAACCAAAGAAGTAAGGAACCTCCTGTGGAAAACATAGATTCATTTATAACACTCCCAGCCCACCAACCCCAAGGAAAACTCGAGGCTGGGGCTGGAGCCCTGCTTCATCCCCTCTCCTGCTGCTGCTCCATGGCCCAGCCCAGCCCCCTGCCTGGGTACCCTGACTGTGCTGGCATTTCCAGGCATCCCGAGACTGGGGACCTCGAGGGATGTCTTCCCCTTCCAGAGCTGCTCCTGAAGGGTGGCATCCCACCCGTTCCACCCCCTGCAGCTTCCGATCTTTCTCGACTAGGAAATTAATCTGTTACCCAGTCCCTGGCACAGGAGGGGTCCCCCGCAGACCAGTGTGCCCAGTCCTGACCCCGCTCCCAGGCAAGGGGCAGGGTTAGCCCGGGGCAGGGTTAGCCCAGGGCAGGGTTAGCCCAGGGCAGGGTTAGCCCGGGGCAGGGTTAGCCTAGGGCAGGGTTAGCCCGGGGCAGGGTTAGCCCGGGGCAAGGTTAGCCCGGGGCAAGGTTAGCCCAGGGCAGTTTGGATGGGCCCTTTCCAGGAGGTGGTGGCTAGAGCCCAGGGCGGAGAAGGCTACTGGGATGGAGTTGGTCAATCCAAGCAGGACAGATCAGGCAACAGGCAGTGTAATTAGAGAGTTATTTCTTCTCCCAACTCCTTTAGAGAGAAGAAAGGCATTTCTTCCTTTGGCATCCCTCCTAGCCCTGCCTTACCCTGCTAGACTGTGTCCTTAGGCCCCTGTTGCCACCCCCAGGGCTGGGATACAGGGATGGCACTGGGCATCCCTGGAGGAGTCCCCTGTGCTCCCGTGTCCAGCAGACGATGCTTTGGATGGAGAGAATGTCCCTTGAGCCCAGTGGTAGGGCAGGCAGCTGCAGGAAGGCTGAGGCCAAGGGCAAGGTCCAGGCACCAGCACGGACTGGAAAAGCGGAGGGTTGTCTACAGTGCAGCCCAGGACAGCCAGGCCCAGCAGTGACCCATGAGCTGGAGCTGAGATGTTCCTACTGATGGGTTGAAGAGAGGGTTTGCAGGTAGATCGCCTGTTTCAAGCGAGGTTATGCCTGGTTATCGTTCTCGGGGATTCATCCATCTCCCCTGTCTTTGCTGGGAGCTCCTGGCACCATCTGGCACGAGCTGTAGGTGCTGGAGAGGCACAGCACAGGACAAGCTCCCACCCATGGGTGCAAACAGGAGGGGGCTGGGGCTGGAGGAGCTGGCAGGAGTCCCGTAGCTGGGCTCAGCCAGGGCATTGTCAGAGGAAGATGCCAGAGGAGGTGGCTGAAGGAAACTGTAAATCCCCTTCTCCACACCCGTAGGGCTCCCTGGTGCTTCTAGCGATCTGCGGCGCCCGTGGCTGCCTTCCTCCCAGCCTTCCTCCCAGCCTTCCTCCCAGCCTTCCCCCGTCGCAGCTGTGCCCTGCAAGGAATCTGGCTTCTGCTCTTCCTCCATCCGCAAAATCCCCAACCGAGCCGCATGTGACCGGGAATCCCCGGCTTGCTGCACACAAAAGGCAGGGCTGGGAAGATCTTAGAGGCTCGGAACCTGCTGGGGACTTAGGAAGGACTGTGATGCCCATTTCTAAGGCGGGGGACAGCCCTGCTGAGGAAGGTGGGGAAACCATAAAGAGAGCCGGACTCAGACTGTTTTGCAGACCCTGTTTTAGCCACAAATCTACCAAAGCCCAAGCCCGGGCTGCCCCGTCGAGCCCTCGGCGTGGGCCTTGCAGAGGGTCAGCGCTGAGGGAGGTCAAGCTCCCCTCGGCTGCTCTGCTCACCCTGCCTGGGCTGATCTGAGCTCATGGGGACGTTCCCCTCCTGTTCCTGCCCTCACGATCCCGCAGATACGATCCCTGGGAGCAGCTCCCTGCCAGCTCGGTGCCTGGCCCTGGATTCTGGCAGTGTCACCCCCACCCCATCCCCTCCTACCCCTTTCCCCTGCCCCCGTGCCTCACCTCCTTGTCTCCCTTCCTCCTGCCAGATATGAGCTTAGAGTGATAGTGTGGAACACAGACGAGGTCATCCTGGAGGACGACGACTACTTCACTGGCGAGAAATCCAGTGACATTTTTGTCAGGGGGTAGGTACAGCGTGGCGTGCCAGCACCACCTCCTCCGCTTCTCCCTGGGAGGGTGTTGGTGCTCGCCAGGGTCCCTGGGGTGGTTTTGGAGCAGGGGATGGGGGATAGGGACTGTGGTGCCGGGGCAGATAGCTCCAATGCTGCCGTTGCCTTCTGTGCTGTGTTTCTTGCCTCTCCATCTCTTTCCCTCGGCCGCACGACCCTCTGCGTGTGCCTGGCCTGGCTGCCCCAGCTTTGAGCTGCGGGTTATTATCTGGAACACCGATGAGGTGGTTTTGGAAGACGACGCTTTGCTGGCGGGAGAGAAGATGTCTGACATCTGTGTCAGGGGGTAATGGCCGAGGCCTCGCTGCTTGGTCCCTCTTCCCCTTTTTGAGCTGGTCTTGGTGCCCCCACTTGGCATTTCAGCCCTGCAACCTCCAATTCAAACATCTGGAGTCAGATTGCGGTTAGTTCCCATCTCTGTTTCGCTCTCACCCGGCAGTAAGGGAAAGCCCCTTCCAAAAACTCACCCGTCCAGAGCTGAGGGGGACCCACGTGTGCCCATAGCCCCGTTCCTTACGGGACCTCAAATCAAGGCAACGGCCTTTCCAGCCCGTTAAACTGCTCAGTGCTTCCTCTGCAGCCTCGCCAGCTCAGCCCAGGTCTCCTCTGCTTGCACCACATCCTTCTCCCAGAAAACTGGGTCTGCTTTGGCGTCGCGGGTCCTGTCACCCCAGTGACTTTCCTGCAGTGCCTCTGAACGTGGGATGCTCCAGCCCTTCCCCATCAGCGTGGTGGGGGATCGCTCGGCCTTTGTGTTTTGCGGGGCATCGGCACGCTCAGAGCCTGAGCGAACAGCCCCGCACCGAGCGCCTGGATGTGGGCTCGTGGCCCTTCTGGCTGAATTCCCTGAGGACAAACAGGCACCCAAAACCCTGAGCGCGCCCTGGGGAACAGAGGTGCTTTGGCTCATCGGAGAAAGGGGCGGGGGGGACACTCACAGTCTTTAAGGCAAAGCTGTGTTCCCCTGGAGCCCAGTCTTGCGGGTATGGACCATCCTCCGTGTCCTTTTTACTCTGGGAATCCTGCTCCCTGGAGCCAGCAAACTAGGGGTACATTCACATGCGATGGCAAGGTGGGCACGGCCGCCCCATCTCCCCGGGGAGGCATGACTGGCACCGTGCCACGGTGCCCGTGGTGCCTGGTGAAGCTGGGGCACTTCTGGGTCACCAGAGACCACCCCACCCCGGAGCAGAGCCTGCAGCAGGCCCTGAACACCTCTGATGGGCTCGGATAGATGTACCCCGACACAGGGAGCCCACGGTGACCCGCGAGATCTCCACAGCCTCCCCTGGGCCTGCCCGCTGCGCCGCTGCGGGACGGGGACGTGCTCTGCTCCAGACTCCTCAGCAATGCTCCTCGTTCCTCTCCACCCCTTTACCATCTCCCCGCTCAGAGGAAGACCTCTGACAACCCGCTTGCGCTCCTCGCTCTCAACCCTCCCTGGTCCTCCTAGGGCCCTCCTGCCCCCCCCTGCCCCTGCCGCCCCTCGGGGATGCTGCTGCGCTGATTGGAGCCCCCTTGCTCACGCCTTTTGGGTCCTCCCAGTCTGTCCCGGAGGCATCCTGGCTGCACGGGCAGGGTGGTCCTGTGCCCTCTCCACCCCCCTGTAACATGTGCCACCCCTCTGGGCCCTGCAGGTGGCTGAAGGGGCAGCAGGAGGACAAGCAAGACACGGACGTCCATTACCACTCGCTTACCGGTGAAGGCAACTTCAACTGGCGCTACATCTTCCCCTTTGACTACCTGATGGCGGAGGAGAGGATCGTCATCTCCAAGAAGGAGTCCATGTTCTCCTGGGACGAGACCGAGTACAAGATCCCGGCTCGCCTCACCCTGCAGGTCTGGGATGCTGACCACTTCTCGGCCGATGATTTCCTCGGTAAGCGGCGGGTCTGCTGAGCTGGGGCAGCCGTGGCTGGCCAGGTAGGGAGCGGTGTGGGATGAGACAAAGCCTGTCTAGGAACAGAGCCTGGAAGGGCAGCTCTGCTCCTCAAGTCCACAACATCCAACAAACCCCCTTGAGATGCTGCCGGTAAGAGCAGGTGGGATGAGAGCCCTCATCTCTGCTGCTGCTGCTGCTGCTCAAAGGTTGCCCCTGGAGCGAAGATGTCAGCTTTTTTTCCTTCACAGAGCTGGTTCAAAGTTGCTCTCCGGGGCAGGAGACGCTGGCCCAGCCCACCTCCAGCCCAGGACTCAGCATTTTGGGGATGCCAACATCTATGCTCCCCCTTTTTTCCTGCCAGGGGGCATCGAGCTGGACCTGAACCGCTTCCCCCGGGGAGCCAAGACGGCGAAGCTGTGCAGCCTGGAGATGGTGACGAACGAGGCAGAGATGCCCATGGTCTCCATCTTCAAGCAGAAGCGGGTGAAGGGCTGGTGGCCGTTGGTGGCCAGAGATGATGATGATGAGCTGGAGATCACCGTAAGGCTGGGGGAAAGGGAGGGATTTCGCATCCTGGGGATTGCGTTATTTGCAGGCACCCTCCACCTGCCTGGCACTTGCCTCTGTTCCCTCCGGTCCCCTCTGTCACCGTGTCTGGGGGGGTGTTGAGGTGGGGAGCATTGCCTCGGTCCCGGCACAACTCTCTGCTCCTTGCAGGGGAAAGTCGAGGCTGAACTGCACCTTCTGACGGCAGAGGAGGCAGAGAAATCCCCCGCTGGGCTGGCTCGCAACGAGCCCGACCCACTGGAGAAACCCAAGTAAGTAGGAAACCCCCACTGCCAAGCAGGCACCTGGGCTCCTGGGAGATGCTGGGGGGGGGTCCCGGGGGGGTGAGGAGGGGTCTCACAGGGGGATGTAGGAGTTGAGGGTCATGGGCAGAGCCATCTCCACTGACTCCCCCCGTTGCCTGCTATTCACTGCCCCGCTGCCTTCCCTTACTCTGTTCCTCCTCTGCCCCTTTTCTTGCCTCCATCCCTTTTCCTTGGCCTCCCACCACCTTCTCCTCCCCTCCAGTCCTCACCACCGGATTCCAGCTTTGACTGGAATCCTCACGAACCTGCATTACTCCAGCTGGCACATGTCGTGCTGACTTCTCTCATCCACCCTCCCGATCCTTGGGCTCCTCCACCCTGTGCGGGCTTACCCCGAGAAGGGACCCTGCACCTCCCTTTGCCCACCGTGTCCAGTGCCAGCCGTGGATCCCTTCTCGGTGGCCACGGCATTAATGATGGGCATTTGCTTCCCCTGCAGCCGCCCGGACACGTCCTTCATCTGGTTCCTGAACCCGCTCAAGGCCATCAAATACCTCATCTGCACGCGCTACAAGTGGCTCATCATCAAAATCGTGCTGGCCCTCTTGCTCCTCATGATGATCGCCCTCTTCCTCTACAGCATGCCAGGCTACATGGTCAAGAAGCTGCTGGGTGCCTGAAGGGTGGGAGCCTCGCCCGTGCCCCCAGCCCCACGGCGCAACCTTCCCCGGCCCCACGCCTTTCTCCTCCCCGCAGCCTCTCAGCAGCTCCGGGGGACGTCTCCTCCCTGCTGCTGCTGGGTCTCCTCTTTTGCGTTCCTCCTTTGCGGGTCCCATTTGTGGCTTTAGTCCCAGAGAGCTGGGGCTGGAGGGCGGCGGCGATCCCGAGGCCGCGCACCCCTCCGCGGGGCTGGCAGAGGTGCCCGGGTGGCTACTGCGGGGCTGGGGGTCTCGTAGACCCTCTGGGGCCGTGGCCAGTGCCCTCCCGGGGAGCTGAGCCCCAGGGGAAGGGGAGGCAGAGCTGGGGCTGCATCCAAAGGCTCTTTGGAGGGACAGACAGTGACAAGGCTGAAGCAGGGACCTGGGTGGGAGCAGCCGGGGCCACCCCAGCCCCACCAGTGTGGGGACGAGCCCCAGAGCAGCCCCGATGCCTGTGTGTGTTGTCGTCCCCCCCTCCCCGCCACCTGCCCTGTCCCTGCTCCGCTCATGGCTCTGGGGGTCTTTGCCCGTCCCACCACGGGGGACACCAGGCATCGCACCCCCACGGCTGCCGAGACCCCGCTGAGAGCCCTGGGGCTGGGCACGGGGCAGAGCCTGCCCTTCCCTCCCCACAGCTCTGGCAGAGGCAGGGAGGGCTCCAGCAGCTCCAACATCTGCCCGAGGTCACCGACCAGGAGAGGCTGGACAGAGGCTGGACAGCCCCGGGGCGCACAGGGAGACAGGGGCTCTGCCACAGCCTGAGCTCCCCGGGGCCTTCTCCGTTCTCTGCTGATTTGTTTTGGATTTCTGTGTATTGCGGCTGGAGTCTTTCTTCAGCATATCTCAGGGAAGGGCTCCTTTCTCAGCTCTCTGAAATATTCCGCTGCTGAAAAGCCGCCTTTCTCAGCTTGAAGTGTGCAAGACCCTCACTGAATAATCGACATCTCGGGGATGTTTTTAGGATACTTACCTTTTAATCAGTCAATAAAAATCAGCTTTCACTTCTGGGTTCTCCGCTGTGGTCTCACATGAGTGGGGCTCAGAGGGCTCGTCACCGGCTGCTTCTGCAGTCGAGCCCCTTCTCCTTCCCGCCGTCCGCCCCGCTGCTTCCCAGTCGCAGCCTCTTTTCCCGCTGCCTCTCCCCAGTCCCTGACCCATCGCAGCCTGGTCCCTCCGCAGCACGGGGATCAAACCAGCACGGCCCTGCCTTCCCCACCGGGCAGGAGGGCAGCCCTGCCTTGGGGACTACAGGGACAAGGAGGTGCAGGGAAGCCCCCGACCCTTCTCTCCATCCTCTGCCTGCTGCCCTGGGGCGGGGGGGGGGGGGGGGGGGGGGGGAAGCCTCCTCTTGCCCACCCTAGAAGAGAGAAAGGTGAAGAGGGACCCCAGGGCTCCATGTGAGCAGGAACCCCCGGGGCAGGGCGGGGGGGCTCTGGGCTCCAAACGGGGTCTCTGAGCAGCGGCATCGGGCGTCCCCGTCGCCAAAGCCGAAGCCGATTGCCCTCCGGTCCCCTCCACGGAGCTTCCAGCGCCTGTGGGGGGAACGTCTGGGCTGTGGGGGCTGCCACGGGTGGGACAGCGTGGACCCGGCAGCTCCCCTCTGTCTTCTCCCTCCTGGGCGATCCCCCGGCTCCCCGGCGCCAGCCTCGCCAGCTCCGGGATGCTCTGGGGGAGCTGAGCTCGTGGGGACGAGCCCAGCCCAGCGCCGCCCGTCACCCGTCGCACGGGTGAGCAACGCGGCGATGCAGGCTGGGGCGGGGAGAAGGAAAAGTGTCACCAGTGGAGCCGAGTTTTGCCGGGACGAGCTGCCAGCCAGCACAAACCAGGAGCAAAGCAGCAGCCGGGAGCGGGGAGCTCCTCCGCAGCCCCTCGCGGCACCGCCCCGGGGCTCCGGCACCGGGATGGCACCTGGACGGGAGCTGCTTCACCAAAAGGTACCCTCAGCGAGCACCCCGAGCCCAGCCCGACCCCGTGTCACAAGCTGAAGGGCTCCCCGGCCTGCGGGCGTGTAGAAACCGGGACCGTGGAGCCGTAGGATTCCCTCATACACAGAAGCTCCATCTCTACATTTCTCTACTCCGCCGCGCCACAAAAATCACCTCAAGCAAGCGTACCTGTGATTGACGAAGCGAATAGATATGCATCAAGCTGTTACAATTTACAATATTATTATCAGCAATCAATTTTATAGCAGTCATTATAGCGGCACTCAATAGCAACAATCACTAATAGCAGCAATCAAATACATATAACATTATGGATCACTACAGTCTTATCCCTAGTGAAGCAAACTTACAAATGCTATAACACCAGATATACTTGTGATAGATTACCTATAAGCACATATATATATATATATATTATAGATGTTTGCTATACCAAGCGTACCAGAGAGACCCCCCAAAGGGGACCCAACCATCCCAGAAAAGGCAGGACAAACCGAACCAAGAAAAGCCACGAAAATAAGCGGCTCTCCCGTCGGCGATGAGCTGTGTCGCGGAGCTCGGGGTCAGCCGGGCGTCCCCGGAAAACTCATAGCGAGTTTGTGCAGAGCTGTTTGGGAAAGGGAAAAGTCCGTGCAGCGTGGGAAGTTCTCAGCCGAGAGAAGCTCCATTTGGGTAAAAATTATGTCATTTTTATAATGGAGACGTAAGAGGGCGTAGGACACCAGCACTTCAAGCAGCCTTCAGTCTCCAGCCTGTACCTTCGGCACACATTGGTATGCTTTTCATTTCTATTTTTCACATGGAACAGCCAACAGATGGTGAGGTTTTCTGTTCTCTCTGACCAGTTTTTATTTTTCCGGACTATTTTCCTGTTGTCACAGTTAGAACAGCCAGCGGCAGCTATCGGTTCTTACTTTCTCGAGATGTTTCCCCCTTTTTCCAGACTATTTTTCACCTCTTCAGACCCGTAAGTTGCCGTTCCAGTTCCTTGGTTTTGTGCTTATCGGTGCCATCTCGGGACGTCTCTGGTTCCTCAGAGACACTTCAGAGATGCAGCTGCGCTGCTCAAGGATGCTCCCGGCTCCCAGGCCGAGCGCCCAGGCTGGCAGTGCCCGGGCAGGGCAGGCATCTTCTCAATCAATATTCCAGCAGACGTTTCCTTCTGTTCAGTAATTTTCTTCTGGCCCATAATTTTCTTCTGTTTAGCAATTTCCCCCTTCCAACCAGGTCGCCTTTACGGCCGCTCACGTCACCTCCCCAGCCTCACCCAGCTCCCTCCTGCTCTTGATTCACCAACTGCCTCACCAAAACTGGGCAAAATCAGGGGTTGGGTGCGGACGGGTCCCTCTCCGACACATCGCCCCGTCCCACGAGCCGCGTGGCGCGGGAGGCCCAGGGCACCAGGGGCTGTGGGTTTGACCCTGTTTTTTGGACCCAGTGGTTTTGAGAGAGGTTTGTCCTCCCTCACCAGCGCACCGGGGGGGGATGCAGGAATTCCTCCCGGAGAACCTGGTGAGTTACGGTCCAGGGAAGGGCCCGTGAGCTGGGTGGGGAACTGGCTGCACCCGGGAGGAGCTGGGAAACGGCTCCTTTTCAACCTGGCAACCCATCAGAAGGGCGGGGGGGGTGCCCCAGGGATCGACATTGGGCCCAACGCTGTTTCATCTCTTCGTAAGTGAGCTGGATGATGGGACCGAGTGGGCCCTGAGGAAGTTGGTCGATGATACCAAACTGGGAAGGGAGAGCTACGCTGCAGGAAGACCTGGCCAGGCTGGAAGAGTGGGCTAACAGGAACCTTCGGAAGTTCAACAAGCACAAGTAGAAGGTCTTGCACCTGGGAAAACCTCGTCCAGGAGCGCAGCCCAGGCTGGGATCTGCTCGGCTGGGGAGCAGCTCTGCGGAAAGGGAGCTGGGGGTCCCGGGGACACCAGGCTCAGTGTGAGTGACCAGGGTGCTGCTGCAGCGAAGGGAGTCAACGGGGTGCTGGGGCTGCATCAACGAGGGCATCACCCGCGGAGGTAAAGTCGTTGTCCCACTCTACTCAGCGCTTGCCAGGCCACACCTGGAATATTGTGTTCAGTTTTGGTCCCTGCTGTGCAAAAAAGCTGTGGCCAGGCTGGAGAGGGCCCAGAGAAGGGCCACGGAGATGTTCAAGGGACTGGGCAGCCACGTGGGGAAAGGCTGAAAGAACTGGGTTTGTTCAGCCTTGAGAAGAGAAGGTTTAGGGGAGAGCTTATCACCATCTTTTGGTATTTTAAAGGGTGGCTGCAAAGACGGAGGCTTCCTTTGTACAAGGAGTCGCGTGGAAAAGACGGGGGTTAACGGGTACAAGTGACTCCTGGGGAGATTCCGACTGAACACAAGAGGAAAATGTTTCACCAGGAGAACAATCAGCTGCTGGAATAATCTCCCCGGGGAAGGGGTGGATTCCCCAACTTCGGACACTTGTAAGATCCAGCTGGGCAAGGCGCTGGCCCATCTTGTGCTTTTGCCAGGAAAGGTTGGGCCACCTGGTCCTTGAGGCCCCTTCCAACCGGGGATTTGGGGATTCTGCCTCCCCCAGAGCCACAGAGACCCTCCGCAGGGTAAGGGCAGGAGCCAGCTCCGTCTCCCGCGGCGTTCCTGCAGCCCCGGGTCTCCCCGGCGCACACCAAAGGTGGGCGAACGTGCCGCGGGGCCGGCTCCTGCGCCGCGGGCAGCCAAAGCAGGCTGCGGCACCCCCATCTGCCCGTGGGGTAGCCCCCCTCGCCGGAGGACCCCTGGGGAAGGGTGCAAGAGCCTTCCTCCCCCCCCTCATTTGGGGAGGGCAGTGCCCACCCATGGGAGGGGAGCGGAGGGATGTGCGTGGAGCTGCCAAGCAGCACCAGGGCAGGGGGGGTACAGAGGGGGGGCTGTGGCTGGATAAATACGGGTGGGCAGGCAGCCGGGGTGCCCACGGCAGGCACAGCTCTTCCCCTCGATTAAGGGATGAATTAGTGAATCCTCGTGTTAGCCCGGTCTGTACAAAGGGGATCGAGTCCTTGCTTGCTTGCTTTCCTAATAAGCTCATAAAATAAAGTTTAATTTGCAGAGCACGTTGTCCTGTAAATCCGCGAGGTCCAAACAGACCATGACAGCAGCCTGCGCCGCCGGCACACGGTGTGCTGCCAAAACACTTCTGTTATGAACAATCCCTTAAGCACATTACACCTACCACAACAATCCTCTTAGCAGAAGCCGTTGAGGGGGCCGATAAAGGACGAGGCATCGCTTAAATATGCCCAGGCTTTGGCCCAGAGGGAAATTCAGGGAGCCCGGGGTCGGTGCCACGGCCCGAGGGTTTCAGAGCCGCTCGCTGCGAGGTCCCACGGGCGTGGGGGGGGGGGGGGACACAGCCGTGCCCCGGGGAGCTGCGGGATGCAGGGCAACCCCTTCGCTTGGGGAGCGAAACGCCTCCTGGGGCTGTTCCGTACCCACAATATCACAGTTTCCTGCCTTTCCCTAGAGAAATTCTTGCTGTTTTCAGCAGGAACGCCGGCGTGAGGGCTGGGCACCGGGAGGTCGCTGGGGACAGAGCGCCGCGGGGAGGAGCAGCAGAGCTGGGGGGGGGGTCCCCGGGCCCCGTGTCCCCGCGGAGGAAGGCAGAGCTTGTCCGACCACAAACTGGTCCTGGGCACGATGGCATCGATCCGAAGGGGGCACCGGGCACACGGTGAGAAGCGCGGGAGGGTGGCACCGGGGCTGAAACCCCCGCGGCCGCCAGCTCTGCTCTCCCTTCTGCCGAGCAAAGGGCACGGAGGGGGAATTCAGGGCACGGGACGCCAATCCTGCACCTCTCAGCCGGTTTGCTGCGGCCCTCGGGAGCTGCTGCAGTGGAAGCATTGCTTCCCACCCCAGGACATCAGCCTGGAGAGCTCTCGGCCCCGACTGAAGTCGCCACCGGGCCATTCCTCTCCATTTTGCCCCGTGTCACCCCTTGCCGGGCGCGCCTGGAGCGGCGCGCGCGGAGCAGCGGCTCAGCCCTCCACATCTGGCTGAATTCGGGTGCAAACTGCGCTGCCCCCCGCTCCCAGCCCCAAGAGCACCTGTTTGGAAGGGAGAAGGCAGCCCCGCTCCCCTTCCCCACCACTTGGCCACCCACCAGAGCAAGGGCCGTGTCCCTGGCCCCCTCCACAGTCCCCCGGGCCTGAAGGTGACCCAGGAGGGTCGTGACTCCGTTCGCCCCCGCTGCAAAAAGCCAGGCTGGGGGTCACAAGGATGTTCTTCCTAATTCCCGACCAAACCGGGTGTCTGGGGTCTCCTGCCCGGGGCCCCCGAGAGCAGCTTATTCCCCGGGAGCAGCCCCGGCCGCGCTGGCGCGGGGATAAGGAGGGGGATCACCCCGATTAACAGCGAAGCCGAGAGAGCCGAGAGCTCGCTGTGCTGGCAGGGAGCTTCGCTGGGGCAGAGCCGAGTCCTGACTTGTCAGGACAGTCAAGCCACGGCCAGGAAAACACCGGTTTCCAGCAACACCCAGCCTCCTCCCTCTCCCGGGGCACCTGAGCACCACAGCGGCTGAGCTGTGGTTGAAGCAGGTCACCATCCCGGTTTCAAGGAGGCAGGAGATGCAGCATCTCTGCCCGCTCGACGGTTTAAGCCGCTCATTTTGGGGCAGACCGTCCTCGGGAGCCCCGTGGCCACGGCCCCACGCAGCCCCAGCCCTCCGTGGAAAGGCAGCACCGACTCGACAGGCGCTTTAGGGATTTAATCGCTCGTGGGGGGGGGGCTCCCTGGTGCAGAGCAGGGCCTGCAGCGAGGACAGATCCAGACTCAGCTGCCCAAGGGACGGACCCTGCCCCGGGGCACAGCCTCGTGGCAAAAGGGGTGCAAAAAAGCCAAAGCCCGGAGAAGAGGGTGGCTGGGGAGAGGGAGGAGCCCTGGCGCCTGCCCTGGGGAGGTTGGAGGTGCCACCTCTTTCCCCCCCCGGCCCAAACTGTCACCCTACACAGGCAGGATGTCCCGTCAAGCTACCGGGGTGCACAATGGCTTCCAGGGACCCCGCAGTCAGCACCAGCTGCAGAAGAGGCAGAGCAAAGGGGACAAGAGTGCAAGCCCAGTGTTTCAGCTGAAAGAAGACGCTGCACCAGCACCCTGTACCATGGCCCAGGGTCCCATTAACCCAGGAGGGTGCCACGGGGCAGGCACAGCTTCCTCCCTGCCCTGTCCTCCCCCCGTGCTGCAGCCAGCTCCCTCCCTTCCCTCGAGAGCTTTCCCACCTCTGCCAGCGCCAGCCCAGCTGCTCAAACTGGGGCTGAAGCTCCAGCCCAGGCAACCGCTGCCCCAGCCCGGCCCCTGCTCAGCAGAACAGAAAAAAAAATAAAACAAAACAAAACCAAAACCAAACACCATTAAAAGGCTTGGAAAAATTTATTCTTTACTGAACTTTAACAGTTGGGTTTTTTTTCTGGGGGGTTGGTTTAAACACAATAAATATTTCAGTAATAGCATTTTACAGAGTGGAATCCGAACCCACTGCAGTACCTAAAGCCCCGGTGGCAGGGCTCTGGGGAAGCGGGGCAGCGCCGGCACAGCTGCTTCATCTCATCTGCATTTAGGGGCAACCCCGCTTGCTCGGCGCCGGTGGGGAGCCCGGCAGAGCCCCCCCCCCCCCCGAACCCCGGGGGAGCGAGGCTCCCGCTGACAGCAGCTCCTCGGAAGGGCTCAAGGAGGAAGGGACAGAACCAAAACCACCACACAAGCACCAAACGCGTCTTTCCCTGCATCAATTCCCAGCCCCGGGAACGGCGGCGGCACCGGCTTCCAGCCCCGCTGGGCCGGGGGGTCGGTGGCAAAAGGCTGAGTCCAGTTAGTGCCTCCAAACTTGTTTCTAGAAGGGGAGAAATAGTTTCTAGGCAGCACCACCAACTCCGTCCCCCTCCTGCCCAGGAAAAGGGAACGGCCACACGGCCACAAGCCTTCGAAGACGCGCTGCAGGGCTGAGGGGGAGCTCCCCGTCCTGCCCCAGTACCAGCGGAAGGAGCGCAGCGAGTCAGGTTTGCAGAGCCACCCCGGCGTTAAGGGTTGAGTCTGAAACGCTCAGGTTCGTGCCCTGGAGCCCCCCCCGGGCTGGGTTTGCTGCTGCTGCTTTGCTTTGCCTTTAGGTGCAGGGTTAGAAGCTGGAGAAGAGAGCGAGTCAGCACCGAGAACCAAAGCCAAAACCAGCCTGGACCCCCCCCCCCAATCCATCCCGAGGGGCTGGCGCCTGCACAAGGCGGACCACCACCAAAACCAGCACCCCCCTCAGCTGCCAGCTCGAGGGACAGAAGGGGCGACTCCGAAACGCTGCCGGGGTGGGGGGGAAGGTTTTGATTAACGAGGCCTCCAGCCTGAAGCGCAGCACCAGCTCCTACCGAACAGCCACCACGGCCGAGATGGAGGGCACCTCGGAGGGCCACCAGCGAATTTCACCCCCGAACCTCCACTCGTGGGGCAGGGCCACCCTGCCCACCTCCGGGGAGAGCAGCCCAGAGCCCTCTCAAGCCAGGCCTGACCACACCCGGATGGCCCAAAGGGTCTTCTACAAGCTACGAGACCTTTTCTAGAAGCTAAGAGGTAGCACCCACCGTGCCCATGCCCCACCGAGAGCAGCCTCCACGTCACCTCGGCCCCTGCCCCGACAAAGCGTGGCGAGGCAGAACTGGGGGGGGGGAGAAAGCAGGGTGAGCCAAGTTTGCAAGCCCAGGCCAGGGCAGCAGTTCTGCGTTAGAAAAGCGAAAAAAAAAATAAAAGAGCTTTTAGCCGACGCGGCTCCACCACCGCCGAAGCAAGGCTGACACACTGCACCGCAAGGTTTTGGGATGGGGGGGTGGAGGGGAAGGACTCCCCCCCCCCCCCCCTCCTCGAGCGAGCGATGCAGGCGAAGCAAAAAGGGAGAACTGGAAACAAGCCTCTGCTCCGGAGAAGTTCCTGCAGGTTGTGGAAGGACACAGAAACCACCCCCCCACACACACACACACACAGAGTTTTGCCGCAAGCTGAGGGGACCAGAGCTCAGCTACAGCTTGTGTTTGCACAAAAGACCAACTGGTCCCTTGGACAAAAAAAAAAAAAAAAAAAAAAGAAAGATCCGAGCTAGTTTCCAAAAAGCACTACTTCTCGAGACTCTCCAGGTCGATCACAAGCAGGCACAGATGCTCTCAGAGGAGAAGGTGCCTCGCTAGAACTGACCTGGCTGAGAGCGAAACAGCTCTCGGACCACAAACTGCAGGTGCTCGATGCACCCGGGAGGTCACACCAGGCCAGCTCTGTTTAAGGAGCTGAAATAAAGGCTTCCCGAGCCCCAGAAGCTCACGCTCACAACATTCTGCTCCCCCGACTCTGGCAAAGCCGCCGGGATCAGGTGGTTGGTGTTTACCAGCCGAGAGGCCGCTGCCGAGCCCCCCCGGGGCAGGAGAAAGAGGGGAGTTAATCGTGGCCGGGAGAGCAGGAACAAGCTGAGACCAGAGCACGGAGGTTCCTGGGTTCCCCGGTGTTCGTAAAGCTTTGCTTTCAGCGCGCCGGCCAGTTTTACCCGAACCCCAGGAGGTCCCAAACCTGCATCTCACCCTCAGCCCCGCTGGTGAATTCCCGCCCGAAGCCGCTGGATCGGCGCCTCGGGCAGGAACCGCAAGACCCAGAGGCAAAAGGCTGCAAGGGAAGGTGCCTCGAGCCCTGCGGGGACACGCTGGCGCGTCCCGAGCTCCCCCAAAAACCTGCTTCGGAGCAAAAAGCGCGGCGAGGACGAGGGGGGCAGCGCCGTCACCTCTCGCCACAGCACGAGGAGCTGCCCGGAGCCCCGCTGACACCCCAGCGCATCTCAGAGGGCTGCACCCCTCCCCGGACAGCTTGGTTATATATATATATATTTTTTTTTTTTTTTTTTTTTTTTTTTTCCTGGTAATACTCTGTCTTGAGATAAAATGTGCAAAACCGGTTTAGGAAAGCGTAGGACAGTCCTATCATCAACGCAGCAGGTCCATCGGTAATTAAGAGAACATGATTAACGGCATCGCTGGGGGGAGACGACACGGCCCAGCTCCCGGCGGAGGAGCGAGCCCACGGCCTCGACCCACGGCAAGCCCAGAGCCCAGCCACCGCCCTACCACCACCACCCTCAGGGGCTGTGAGGGAGGAATACATTTAATTTTAAGACTTAAACCCGTAATTATTAATAAATAGTTTGTTTCTCCGCGTGCCACACCCCAGCAGGGCAAGATGGTTCGGCCTTTCTGTTTGTTTCCATTCCCCTCCCAGAACCCGGGAGCAGAAATCACTGAATTTCTAACAGCCCAGACACACACACACACACACACACACACCCCCCCCCCCCGAGTTTTGCAGCAGCAGGAGTTGGGAACAGCCCCACGTGCACCGAGATCAGGTCTGCCCTCTCCTCCCTCTGCCACAAGCCCGGCAGCACTAGAGACAAGCAAGCCTGTTTCCCAGCACTGATTTAAGGAGATATTTTTCTAGCGTCAAGGTGCAATAAATTAAGGCACCAAAAATCCAGGACCCTCCAAAGATAAAGCCTGTGCAGAGAGGAAGCGGTTCCAGTTTTTGAGACGTTTCTCCTCCAGCACGACACGCCTCTGCGGGATTTCAGAGAGGAAGCCCTGCTTCCACAAGTATGTAACCTCAACAAAGGAGTTTTTTCGGGGCGCGTTCCGCGCCGGCTCAGGGCTCGGCGAGACGACAGGCAGCGCATGACCGCGACAAAGCGACATCCCAAGATTTAAGATCAGACAACTTCTCACAACGCCAGCACCCGCCCAGTCGCGCCAGTGGGAAGGGACAGGGCAACGCAGAGCTCCGGGCTCGGGACCCCAAAGCTCGGCTCAAAGCCCGAGGGAACAGCCCAGGTGGTCCCTGGTCCTGCAAACACACACGACGAGAAAGTGAATCACCCAACCTCCACTCTCTGTCAGTGCTGCCAGCACTATTTCACTACCCAAACACGTCCCACAGGCGAGTGTTGTGTCCCATTTTAAGATTCCCTGTAATTCTTGTGCGAGCATCACTTAAATTTATCTCCCTTCATAATTAATACATTTCATTAAATAGCAAGAGTCAAAAATTAAAGCGCAGCCCAATTAATTTGTACACTTGGTTTTGTTTGTTTTTTTGTTTGTTTTTTTTTTTTTTCTTTTTTCCCTCTGTACAACGTCAGTAAATTATATAGGAGTAAGCTACTTTATTAAATAAACTCTGAAAACCATTCGCCCCCTCTCCCAGATCAGCCGCCCCTCCCGGAGCCGGGAGCACCCGGACGTCCAGCCGAGCCCTCGCGGGACGTCAGCCCGGGCGAAGGTGCCAGCTCGCTCCTGGCAGGGCGTACCGTGACCAAAAAACCCTGACGTGGAGAGCTGCCCTCGGGATTTCAAGTCTCATAGCCTGCGTGACAATGATTCAAATTTACAAAAGGAGGAAAAAAAAAAAAAAAAATAAAATTAAAAAAAAAAAAAAAATGGCATTAAATAGTAGTTACAGTTTGAAGGTTTCCTAAAGCAGGAGGAGCCTTCACCTGCAGAAGGAAAACGCTGCGACCAAGCTTCTACGAACCACGTTGCACAATAATCAGTGTATAAGCGACTTTGTTCCCACGGTAGATTACATATGCACAATCTGCTGTGCTTGTTCGCTTCCGGATGCAGCCCTTCCAGAGCCTGGGTTTAAGCTACACTCTTCATTCAAGCACAGGTCTTCATTAAATAAAGTGAACAGAAAAGAAAATCAGCATTCAGTCTTCACCACCCCACTCTAACTCAATTACAAAAACAAGTTAAAAAAACCAAAAAAAACCAAAACAAAACAATGCAAACATGTCTTTTACAAATGGACAGTAAACGAATAGATCCCTGGATGGGACATGCAGGAGCTGGGGACAACGGTTCTGAAAAACAAAGTGATGTTTGGAAGGGACCCCACCGCACACACCGCCCCCGTGAGCTCCCTGAAACCGCACACGCAACCCGCACGGCGCTTCATTAAGGCGCTTCTCTGAGCGGGGGGGGGCGATGCGCAGGCCGAGCTGCTGCAACAGGAGCGGCCCCCCGGGGGGCAGAGCCCCCCCTGCAGCAGCAAATTCACCCCGGTGGGAAGAGGAGGCAGTCTGGCTCGGCTTTAGGCTGCTGGAAGCCACTTTCTGCTGCAGATGGGAGCCCAGACCCCGCTCCCACGCGCACGGCCGAGACGTGGTCCCAGGTCCCCACCAGCTCGAGCGGGGGGGGGGGGGGCAGAAGCCACCTTCCTGCTTTTACAGGAAGCTGAGCCCTGGTTTTCGAAGCCCACCCCAAGCAGAGTATTACCAGAAGTTCCGTGTGGTGTTCTTTTTTTAACGCCCCCCTCAACAAAAAAAAAAAAAAAGAAAAAAAAAAAAAAAAAAAAGGTGCAAATGTTTGCCCAAATAGGTGAATGCAGGGAGGCAGGACAGAACGTGGGAGAACTGTCACCACCTGCTCCCTAAGCACCAGCCCGGGAGCGGGGCTGTCCCGCGGGATTAAGGGACAGACGGGAACTCCCCCGACCACCAGGATGTTCCCCCGACCTTGTAGAAATCAGCCGTCCCGTTGGGTTTTGGTGACGGGTCAAAACGCTTTGCTCAAGTAAAGTCATTTCCTCCCCCGACCGGCTTTACCTGAGCAAGAGCTGGAGTCTGAGGTTGAGCTGGGGACGTTCACCCGGTCGGATATACGGGAGTAGCGACCTGGAAGGCCACCCTCCTCGCCCAGTTCCACCCGAAAGCCAAAACTTGCATTTGTCCAACAGCAGCAGGGGCTGCCCTGTACCAGCCCTGCCCTGGCTGCACCGGATACCGTGCGTACTTTGCCCTGATGTCTGTCCAGAGGATAGGTTTAAGATCTGTGGCGATGGTTGAAGTATTTACAGGTATTTGCAGCGGTTATTTACAGTCCTTCTGCAGACCGCAAGCCGATTTTCTCTTCTTCCACTCCTAGTCAATCTGGCGTGGGCTTCTTTAGCGAGAAGGGCCGTATATTGAAGTGCCTGCTCAGCTGGCTCACCTGGGGACAGGGCAGACGACACGACGGGGTTAGCAAGGCTCAGAGGGATGAGGAGGAAAGCAGGCAGGGCACCACGGCAGTTCCCCGCACGGCCGACAAAGCCCCTGGCACCCTCCTGCACCCATTTTCCCCACCCCACCCGCTCCCCCCCCCCACCCCCGGGGCGCAGAAGATGCGGACCGTGGTGTGGTGGGATGGGGCCAGCCGGGCACGTGGCCCAGCAAAGGTGCAGCCTTGCTGCCGCCTTCCCAAAGCTCCCCAAGGTAGAGCCTGGTCTAACCGGGAGCAGGCTCCCCGTCATCCCTGCCCTCCTCAGGGGCAGGAGGGCAGCAACAAGCCCAGGCACACAGGATTTTACCTTGCGGTACTGTTCTCTCTCTGCCCCTCCCAGTAACATTAATCTGATCATCTCTGATATCTATGTATTTACAACAAAAAAAAAAAAAAAAAAAAAATCACTCCCTGAATCCACTTGCAATTCAAACTGGAGCATTGACCATGAAGACACACACAGGAGGGTTACAGAGAGGAGGGGAACCCAACGCCAGGTTTTGGATAATCAGGCCCCTTTTACACCGGTCTTTGGAAGAAGCTTTCACCACCTCCTTTGAGGACATGAGGAAACCACAGAGAGCTGCACCAGGAAACAAGCTTTCAGGGGTGGTTTCAGAGAACTGGGGACAGGAGGATAGAACGGACGGTGTGTCACCGGCATCCGGTGACTGCACCAGAGGCCGAGCTGGGCAGAGGGTTTCTTCCCAGTCGTTCCTCCCAGATTCAGAGCAGTTTGGGATTATGTCTCGGCCACAGAGCCTTAAAAGGCTCTTCAGCTCAAAGTTCCTTTTATCCTGGAAGAGGAGACTGTGCAGATGGGCCCCTGGATATCTGGAGGGGGGGGATGAGGGGAAGACAAGCTCAGGGGAGCAGAGCCCCGGGAAGCTCTCTGGATGGGCAGGAGGATTACACCATCCAGTCGGTCCCCATCTCCAGCCACGATTCCAAAACCAAATTTATTTAAGCTGCTTAGCTATTCAAATCCTTCTCGCATAGAAGCCTCATTACACTAATTGGAAAGACAAGACAACCTGGCTATTACTTCTTGGCTGTAATTACAGTTCAGACTTGACTCTGGAGGCTCCACATTAGAGCTGGGCTTCCCAGGGGACAGGGCTTCCTGAGGAGGGTGAACGCACGTGGCAGGGGACACCGGGTCCCTTGTCCTCATCCCTCAGCAGCTTCCTGGGCCACTTCTAATGGGACTCTGTCTCCTCTGAGTCTGTTCTGTCTCTTAATCAAAACTCAGGGAGTCAGGCAGAGCTGGCACAGAGCAAGGGGAGCGAATCGGTCCCCGGATACACACAGCCCTTGCAGCGGGGCTGAAGCACTGCAGCTGCAGCATCCCCACTTTCCCTAGCAGGGGCATCCCCCCCTCGACCATGGCTCTCCCAGTGACTCCGGCGCAGGGCGCCTCAGCGAAGGTCGACCACCAAAGCAACACCAGCAGCAGTTTAACTTTTCATCCTAAGGCTCCCCCCCCCCCCCCGTTAAGCACTCCCAGCTGACGCACAGACACGGGATCTGCTGCTCTGGGTGGCTACTGGAGCTGCCCTCCCCACTGCCCCGGGGCGCGGGTCACCCGTGCTGGCTTTACATCCAAGCTGGTCACTGAGCTGCAGCGGCAGCCAGGAGGAGTTAAGCAGGGCAGCAGAGATGCAAACACTCGTTTCAAACTAATCTCCAGTCTGACAGACACCCCCCCCCCCCAGTCACACATCGTGTGAAGCTTGTTTCAAACCCCCCCACGGCAGCCCGCCCAAGCCTCTCGCAAGGCAGTCAGCTCGAGTTTCCCTGTGGTGACAAGACGGGGCGCGACGCAGCGAGCCGTTCCCCCTGACGCTCCCGTGCTGAAGCGGGGTATTCTCTGCCCCAAACAGCACCAGCCCCCCCCCCCCCCCCAAAGCCTGCGGTCAGAGTGAGCCCACCTACCACGACCACCCCGTAGTGGATGTGTGCCAGGGTGAGGAAAGCAGTTAGCAAGTAGAGGAGAAGCGTTTCGCTGTTCGGCGCGAGGCCGGACATCACCACGAAGAGCGCCGCGGCGATGGGGAGCAGCATCCAGTTGAGAGGCTGGCAGCGGGTGCTGCTCATCTGACAGACGATCAGTTGGCACTGCGGGAGGAGAAAGCTGTCAGAGCTTGCACCCAGCACCGACTCCGCAAGCCCAGAGCTGTCCCCAGCGCGGAGAGGACGGTCGCACGTGTACCGACCGTCTCCACGTACAACTACCGCCGTGCAGTTTCCCCGAGTTTCTCACTTGGGATCTCTCTTTGCTTTAGAGTTCCTGTGGGACGCACGGAGCAAAGCCTCGTGGGGCAGGGAGGTAAGAGGGAAAGAGGCATCAAGGGCGTTTTTAAAAGAAAAAGGAATTCCCCTTGAGCTGACTGAGCTGTACCAGCGTTACCTGCGCAATCAGCACAAAAATCTCGCCAAGCAGCAGCGTCAGCTGCTGGACCCAGGGACACACAGAGCTCTGCCACACGGCTGAGGTGACGAGCAGAAGTGCCTTTGGTAAGGCCCCAAGCAAGCACAGCTGCAGTGGGCAGCTAAAGCGGATTTTGACAAAAGCTTTAGTCCCTCACGTTTTAAGTTTACCCCAGAAAAGGAAGCAGGAACTCCTTTCCTATTAGCAGTTTGCTATTCACAACGCAGAGGACGCATGTGTGTGTAAACACACTCAATTTAGCTAATTCTCCACTTTCTCAAGAGTGAGAGCTGCGGCACAAAATCCGCAGACCCCAAACCCCATCTACTTTCCCATTTGCTCTTTCAACCCTAGCAGAACAGTGAAGCTGTTAAGTTAATCTTCACATCTCCCTTCTCTCCTCCCATCTGAGCTGCTCTCTCTCTTCCTGCCTCCCAAGCGTCCTGGCAGGCTTCACACTTCCCAGGGGATGGACTGGAGCACGAAGCAAAATCTCCTTACAGAAATATTAGCGAAGGCTGTTCCAACCATGAAATAGAAGAGCCTGGGATGCACCTCCAGGATGTCTGTCGGGGACATGAAGATCCACGTGGTGCAGAGCAGGAACAGCAACACTGGGGATACCAGTGGCAGCATGATTTCATACACAGAGTGGTGCTTCAGGGTGTTATTTTTATAGGCCCTGAAAGGCAAAGACAGACACGAAAATCCGTGGAACCACGGCTGAGAAATACCTGCTCCCTGCCTTCAGCAGAGGGCTGCAAAATCTCCCCGGCCGGTCTGCCGCTCAGAACTGCCGGTATCGGTCATAACCACAGCCAGACGAGGAAGATGCACACCACACCTTCATCGTTAGCCCAAAACCCTCCCAAATTACAGCAGCACCCGCTCGTCTGGCGCTCTGGGTTGTGACCAACAGGGCACGAGCCCACAAAAACTGGGAGGCCCTGCTGAGCAGGCTGCCAGCCCCGCTCCTCCCAGTGCACCCTGCAAACTGGGACCTGCTGGTTCCTCAGAGCCACTCTGCCACCCTAAAAAACAGTCGCCTGAAAACTAAGGAAACCAAGTTCTAAGAGGCTTTGGGGGCCCTGGCAACGATGCTGGTGGAGGGAGAGAGGCCTGAGGACAGGAACTTACCTGTAGAAGTTATACAGGCTCATCGGCAGCGTCACTGTGAGCGCGCAAGCTGGAAGAGAAAGAGCCCCGTTACTACCCCCCCCGAGAGAGGGAGACCATCACCTGCACCCCACAAACGGGCAGGTGGTTGTCCTCTGGTTTAAGCTGCTTGCAATAAAATTAGCTCAGAGGTGCCCCGAGAACAGCTCAGCGCATATAAAGATAGGTGCTCGTGATTCTGGTTCAAGAGCTGTAATTATGGGTTAAGGTCTGCCATAAATTAAAGACATTTCAATTTTAAAGTTGCATAAATGAGCCCAGTATTATGCTTGGAACAGCTATAAAGTTTCATTATAACACTGTCTTTCATGAGACATGAGGCGAGTTCAAACGCCACAAGGGACGTGGCTGTGCACAAGTTTTCAGGCTTCATAGTAAATCCAATTTGCCGTTTCTCCCACTGGGAGCAAGCATTCTGAGCTCCCGTTGCGCAAAAAAAGTTCTTGTCATTTAACTTGACAAACAATCCAAAAAGTCTCAATAATTTTGAAAAAAAAATGTAAACCTCGATGGGGAACATCATCTGCTACACCCCAACCTGTGAGAGTCTATCACCACCCTTCCCATGTTTATCTAGCAGCAGGCGTTTTAACAGAGCTGTAAATATTCCTGCTTTTACTAACCGAGCTCCTATCCAAGCGCACAAATCCAGCCAACATGGGCATCGCGCTCTGTTTCATGTAAGAAAACTGCATTTATTATTCATATGTTCGCTTAGACGGTTGCCAAAAGAAAGCTCAGAATAACCACCTGGTTAAGAAAAGCGCAAGCATTACATTGAACAGAATTCAAGACATATTGACTTGAAATTAAGTAGCTACAATTAACCCCTAAAGAAAAGGGCGCGGACTCAGAAAAATTAAAAGGAGCAAGAAACCAAATTGCATTAAGGACAGATCTCCCTGCTAAGCTTCTCCTGCATTACTCTCCCCTTGGCAGTAGCTTGTTCTGACTGACCACTGGAGAGAAAGGCTGGGGTGGTTTCTTTTTTTAATTTAATTTTTAGATGAGTGGATGCAGGCCAGCCTCCCCAGGCAGCAGAGTGCTTTTCCCCACCTCCGTGGCTGTAACCCCCCCCCTCTAGCAGCAGCCCCAGCTGCAAAATGGAACCCCAGGCACCGAAGTAAGTGTGCTCTGCAAACACCCCAAGCACTCGGAGGGGAGGCTCCTTGCTGGCTCCCAGCACCCACTCATGCACCAGGCTGCATTTTATCCCCTAAAAAAAGACTCACGTTGTGGATCAGGTTTGGTTTGGGCTATTTTGTTTTTGGGTTTTTTTTGTGGTTTTTTGTTTGTTTGGGTTTTTTTTTTTTGGTTGGTTGGTTGGTTTTTTGGGGTTTTTGTTTTGGTTTTTTTTGGGGGGGGGGGGGGGGGTTGTTTGTTTTTTTTGTTTGTTTGTTTGGTTTTTTTTAAACAAACTGCTTCCCTTGGGCAACACATAGCTGTGCTGCCGGAGTGCTGGACTATCTGAAGGAGACTTCTTTTCACGCGCTCGCAGTTCCCAGGCACGAGGGGGTCTCCTGTTTAGCACCCAGGAGCTGTTAAACTCCAGCTGCCTCCCAGCCCCCTGGCACACCCAGCCCCCCCCAGCACCCTCAACCCTCTGCCACTGGGGGCCAGGGACCATTCTGCATCCAGCCACACAAACCCTTAGCCCCGGGCTGATCCCCCCCCCCGAGCAGCAGCACACACTTATCCCCTCAGGATTGACCCAAAATACATCCGAGGCATGAGCACAGCGCCCCACTTCCTCGCTTTTTCGGTCAGCACAGACCCAGGCACGCTGGAGTTACCCTCTGCAAAGCAGCTGTGCAGAAGACAACCCTTTGAAATCCTGGGAAAGGGCAGGCTGCGAGAACACCCTCAATTAGTCACTTCAGTAACAGCCTACAGGAGCTTTCATTACAGCACACAGAACAGCTTTATCATATAATTAAGACATTGGGTTTCATTAAAAAGGTGGAGTTTAAAAGACAGGCTTCAACATGGAGTTTCTTACCAATAATCATTGCAGTGAATAGGTCTCTATATAAGAAATTAAACAGGAAAGGTGCATACCAGGCCTCAACTCCCACAATGGCTGTCACTATGTAGACAATTGAAATGGTCTGAAAGAAAGCACAGGACAAGCAGGCGTGAGCAACCAGGCAGGCAAGGTGGCAGCACCCGGCCCGGCAGCTCCGCTTCAAGCTACATCACATTCAGTTCTCCCCTCCGGCAGGAGGGAGAAAAATTTAAAAAAAAAAAAAAAAAAAAAATCCACAAACATCCCATGTTTGGTCTAAGAAGTGTAGCAGCTGAGCGGCTGAGGAGGCGATGACCAGAGCCACTGAGCAAGGATGCCCTCACGTAGCTTGAACTCACGAGACGCCTGAAGCACGAGAGAGGTTTCACACAAGTTGCAGTGACCTTGGAGGGTTTGTCTGGGGACTCTCTTATCCATCTGGTGAAGCAATTACAGGGAAAAAGCTAACAAAGGATATTTCAGTTTTAATAATAACGCCGAAGCTGGGTGAAGCACTCTGCAGAGTAGCTTAGCCCTCCACCCCCTGCCTCTCTGCAACAGGCAGAGATCTGAAAGCGTGCGGGTTAAGCAATGCTTTTGGAGAAAGGGGTCAGAGTACAGGCAGAGGGCAGCAGTTACAGTCTCCTTTTACCAGCAGAGACGATTATCACAATTAATGCAGCTGCATTCATTGAACTCTCCTTCCAACTTGCTGCATTTCCCACCCAGCAGCCGGTAAGCCAGAAGCGGTGCCGCCAGCCTGCCCGCTGGCTGGCAGTAAAGGGGAACCCTATCACCCAGAGCTTGCTCCCCGTTCCGACGGGCTCTCCAGAAAGACCTTCCTGCAGGAAAGTCCCTCGTGAGAGATGAGAGACGGACCACTTTCCTGCAGAGAAGTCCTTCGTGCGAGAGGGATATACCAAAGGGTCCATCCCCATCAGTCTCCACATCGACTGCCCAGCCACCATGGTACAGAGAGGCACCTCCCCAGGAACCTTTGCTCCAGGCACGAGCGATTAACACGCCAATTAGTCACTTTGCTATATTTTGGCACACATCCTGCTAGTACCAAAAGGTACCCCAAGCTTCTAGACTTGAATTTACCTACACTGGTATAACGCAGGAAAGTAACTAGAGCAATGATTTAGGTGGCCAAAACACGCATCTCGGGCCAGCAGAAGCCAGGTGGCGGAAACGCAAGGCAATCTCCATTCTTCAAGCCTTGCTTTTTGTGGAGAGTGCACCTAACAAAAGCTACTCGGGACAAAATAAAAACCCCACCACGCAAACCTCCTCGGACTTAATGGTTTTGAGCAGTTCGACCCTGACACCCCACGACCCCACCTCACTAAAGCAATCAGAGCGCCAAGTGGCGCAAGCAGCCGTGGAGAGCTCTCCTCCTCCACAACGCCCGGAGCCAGGCTGAAGGCACCCACCTCCAGCGAGCGGTTTACGGGGCTTTGGGCACGGTAGCAGAGCTGCATGCACCCACCCCTCACACACCTCCGTGGGCACACCCACAGCCCGGGCAGGCTGGAAGTTTATCGAGCTTCTGCTGAAGCAGAGCGGCGTGTACTTACCACCTGGCTGATGTCATATCCCCAGGGCAGGAAGAGGATCCCCGTGTTATACTTCTCCCAGTGGGAGAGGATGAATGAGAACAAGACCACCCATAAGAGGAGGTAGAGAACGAAGACACTGACACCCGTGGAGCCCCGTCCAAAGGTGGAGTAGACTGTCACGACAAAGTATACGCAGGCCCAGCTGTCCAGGCCGTGATCAAAGAGCTCTCCCAGGGGCGTGCTGGAGTTGGTCCGGCGAGCCTGTTTCCCGTCAACACCGTCTGGGAAGAGGAGGAGGAGGAGAAATGGGGAGTTTTGCTGGACGTGAAGCAACGGGCCAGCTTGCAGCTGAGGAAGTGCAGGCAGTCAGCGAACAGCAGCTTTCACCACCTCCATCCTGTCGTGGGGCGTGCGCTTCCCACCCCCCTGCTCTATTTTGGACTGAAAAATGCAACAGTCTGACAAGATTATATTAAAGTGGACCGAAGACAGGGTTTCGCAATTCGTCTCGCAGTTCCAGCATCCTCCTTCCACATCAGCTGCTCTGAGACAACTTCCCTCTACCCACTTCGCAAAGCAGCTCCCAGAAACGGCTCCAGCAGACCAAGCAGCAATTGGATTAGCGCATGGCAGAAGACCAGAATCAAAAATTTCTCAACGGGCTTGGAGATAAGATGACACGCAGCCGCAGCATGAACAGATGACAGGCACAAACCCCCACAATCAACAAGATCAAGTCTTACCTAACGTATAGGCAACGAAGTTGAGGAGACCCACAATGACCCACACGCCGTTCGGAACGTGCTGGTGATCTGGAGCTGCGGAGATCAGAAAGACCCACGTCAGGGCAGCTGAACGGGTTTATTTTGGCACAAGAGGCACAGCAACGAGGGCCGGCAGCTCACCAAGGCAAAGCACCTACACAACTCCAACAGCGAAACGGAGATGTTCGCTTCCCAGGGGGGCTGAGCTGCTCCACGACAACACGTGAAGCCACGTCCCTGAGGACTTGGCTTTCCAGGACATACTTGTCCTCTGTCCCCAGCTCCCCACAGTCACGGGACCTAAGAACTGGTGAGGGCAGCTAATGACCGTAGCCCAAGTGCACGACACAGAAGCATGTGCAGATCAGACTCTCCTCAATCACTTGCTCACAGAGCACCAGGCAGAGCCTCTCTGCGATGTGGTGACACCCTCTTTGGGCAGAAGAGTGTCAGGAGCTCCTGCCCAGCCTCCAGTCTGCACCCTGCCAAATGAAACAGAGTCCTTCCTTAATAACAACTCCACCTCCTCCAGCACTGTTTCAGGGGATAGCCAGCTTAGCTGTCTGCAACTCAGGAGCCCAAAGGTGCATTTGAAAAAAAAAAAAAAAAAAGCAGGAAAAGGCACAGCTTCTTGGCAGCAGCCTCATGGGAGGGCACATGGAGATCTCCTTGGGGGAACAATGATTCTGTGAAATGCCACCTCTTGTTTCCTTAGAGCAGCGCGATGGTGCCTTTCCAGCTGCAAACAGAGGGCATCTCACCTACAAAACCATCCAACAAGGAGGGAAGGCACAAGTTTCTGGAGGCCTCACCAGCAAAATGAAAAGTTGTCTTTCCAAGCAGGGCATGCATCGCTTGCATGGATAAAAGGGGCCCAAAGCACGAGCTTCACCATCCCTCTGGCAGAGGGCAAGTTTCAGGTCATCTGATGTCCTGGCGATTCTCACACTGAGCTTCCTTCCCCGAGCTACGACTGTCAGCTTTTTTAACTATGGCTCACAGACCAAACCACAATCCAAACCTTAGCTGACAGCCACTGATGCCACCCAAGCTTTTGAAAGCTTGGCAAATTGACACTCGTACTTGTCTACCTACCAATAAAAGACAATCCCAAGAAACCTGTATTCTTCCCCACTTAACTGTGTTTTGATGATTGGGCCAGTTTTAGAGGAACTAGATGAACTCTCCTGAGCAACCTAAACCAAACCTGGAAGGGGCAAAGGGAGAGAAAAATAGAGAGAGGAAGCTATTGATAAGTGACTGAGAGGAATCTTTTCCCCTGGACACCACCACGAGGAAGGGAGAACAACTGAACCTTCGGATTCACAAACAGATGAACACGGGTAGGACCCTGAGAACTACCAAGCTTGTCAGCCCCACCGCTGTGCCTGGGAAGATCGTGGAGCAGATCCTTCTAGAAGCTATGCTGAGGCACGTGGAAGGACAGGGAGGTGATCCGACACGGCCAGCATGGCTTCACCGAGGGCAAGGCCTGCCAGACATATCTAGGGGCCTTCTACGATGGAGTGACCACTTCAGTGGACAAGGGAATGTTACTGATGTCACCTATCTGGACTTCTGAGGCAGTCCATCACAACACTTTTCTCTCTAAATTGGAGAGATATAGATTTGATGGCTGGACTGTTCAGTGGATAACGAATTGGCTGGATGGTCCCATCCAGAGGGCAGTGGTCAATGGCTCCGTGTCCAGATGGAGACCAGGGACGGGTGGGGTCCCTCAGGGGTCCATACTGGGACCAGAACTGTTTCATATCTTCATCAGCGACAGTGGGATCGATGCACCCACAGCAAGTCTGAGGGCACCACCAAGCTGAGCGGGGCGGTGACACGCCGGAGGGACGCGATGCCAGCCAGCGGGACCTGGACAAGCTCGAGAAATGGGACAGTGGGACCCTCATGAGCGTCAACACGGCCACGGGCAAGGTCCTGCCCGGGGGTCGGGGTGATCCTCAATATCAGCATAGGCTGGGGGACGAAGGGGTGGGGAGCAGCCCCGAGGAGAGGGACTCGGGGGAACTGGGGGGGGGGAAAGCTGGACGTGAGCCAGCACCGTGCACACACAGCCCAGAACCCACCCGTGCCCTGGGCTGCAGCCAGAGCAGGGGGGCAGCAGGGCCAGGGGGGGGATTCTCCCCCTCTGCTCCGCTCTGGGGAGCCCCCCCTGCAGTGCTGGGGCCAGCTCGGGGGCCCCCAACAGCAGAAGGACACGGAGCTGCTCGAGCGGGGCCAGAGGAGGCCACGGAGATGCTGGGGGGCCTGGAGCAGCTCCCCTGGGGGGCCGGGCTGAGAGAGTTGGGGGGGTTCAGCCTGGAGAAGAGAAGGCTCCGGGGGGACCTTCGAGCGGCCTCCCAGGGCTTAAAGGGGGGGCAGGAGAGGTGGGGAGGGACTCTGGGTCAGGGGGTGGGGGTAGGACGAGGGGTGATGGGTTTAAACTGCCAGAGGGCAGATTTAGGTGAGCTCTAAGGCAGAAATTGTTCCCTGTGCGGGGGGTGAGGCGCTGGCCCAGGGTGCCCAGAGCAGCTGTGGCTGCCCCCTCCCTGGAAGGGTTCAAGGCCAGGTTGGACGGGGCTGGGAGCCCCCTGGGCTGGGGGAAGGGGGCCCTGCCCGGGGCAGGGGGGGGCACTGGGGGGGGCTTTGAGGTCCCTTCCCACCCAAACCGGTCTGTGATTCGATGGGTACTGTTAAGAAGTTTAAAGCTCTGCACATGCAGAATGGCGAAACTGAGAAAAAGGATTTTGCCTGTGTTAGTCTGAACACGGCCCTGGCATGTTTTTGCAAGAGGTCAGTTTGCTGGGATGCAAAGAACAAGGTTCCACCTGCTGACTTCAGGGAAGCAGAGTTTCCCGCATAACCCTGTTCGGATTTAAAACGAGGGCACTGTGTTCTTGTCTGCTCTGCAGACGGAACCGATTCCTACTCGAGATTTCGGCCGTTTCCTGCTCCCTCGCCCGCCCGCTGCCACCCAGGCACGCATCCACCCAGCAGCAGGAGGGAAGGTGTGTTCGGACAAATCCTCGTCATGAAGCGCAGAGAGTTCAACCCCTCACCTCTGTCTCAGCCCCCTGCCTCCGGGAAGGCCCAGACTAAGAAGCACCAGAAGTGACAGGAGAGGAGGTGACAGATTTCACCTCCCCGATGCTTCGCACTCAAACAGGAACATGCAGCCTTACCAGAAGCATAAAAGTCAGGGTCGAAGTATGCCATGAGGAAGAAGTTGAAGACAAGCAGCAGGAAGCCAGAAAACGTTATCAAATTTGGGGCCAGCCAGGTAGGGAAGATCTATGGGAAAGCAGCAAAAGAACACATCAACTCATTAAAACATGTAATAAGGACCACATGCTGCTCCCAGCCACAGCAGGGACCTGGTTACGATCATCTGGGCGTCAGACAACACTGCTTAGTGGCACCTGGGCATATCACAGGGCAGCAGGAAGCTTTAGGCTGCGATGCAGTGCGCTCGGGGCAGGCTGCAGGCTGGAAGACAGCACTCTCTGTAATTAGTTGCACCACAAACGAAGCAGGGCTTTTCAGCTGACAGTTTTACAGAAAAAGACTCTGTGGTGACTGGAATTTTGCCGTCCCACTCAGGGCAAGATGAGGTCTCACCTTCACGATCGTGTTCCAGAAGGGATGCATGACGTACAGAGACAGGGGGTTGCTGTCCACGGCACTGTACTGTGAACGACAAGGGAAAACCAAAAAAACAACAGTTAGGGCTCCAACACCACTTGCAAAAAAGCCAGAGATCCTGAATATTGAGCTTTCCCTGCCACCCAAGTCTTGGCATTGCAAGAGCACTCGGGGCAGGGATGAAGTCTCACCAGGAACAACCCGAAAAGCACCCACCAGCTCCAGCGACACAGCCCACGGACCCACAGAGGGGGCTCTCAGGTGCACGCCTCCTGCCTGCACCCAACCCCTTCCCTCCGCTGGCAGCAGCCCCACGAGGAGAGGGGGAGGCATGCTCCCCGCAGCAGGTTTGGGAAGGCGGGGAGAGACTCGAGGACACACGACCTCTTTGGCAGCCAACGCTCCCGCCAGAGCCCGGCACCCCGACGGCCACACCGCAGGCGTGCCGGAGTTCCTCGCGAGCCGGAGACGAAGCGACAGTCCCACGGCCCCGAGCACCCACACCGTGGGACCGAGCCACCAAGGCCAGCTTGGTGTGCTCTTGCTTGAGCAACCCTGTAGAGTCCTGCCCCACCAGACGAGCAGGCCCAGGGACCTTCTCGGCTCAGCCACCCAAAGGTGCCACGCAGAAGGGCAGGGGGGCTCATCCCCACCACCCACGAGAGCTGGGGCCACTTCTGCAGCCCTGAAGGGCTCCAGGCTCCTTCACTCACGCCCCGGCACCCCTTTTGCCAGAGGCTGCAGGAGGACAGCGATGAGCCCCCTTGGTGGGGGTCCCCCAAATGGGAGACTGTTCTCTGACAGCCAAGATACTAACGGGAAGCTTCATTTCTGTACTGACAGCTCTGAGCGACCCAAATACCACCAGTGACTGATCTCAGAGGTCCTGCACAAGAGCTGGTGTGCTTCAGTGAAGGACGAAGCCTGTTGAGATGGCAGCTCTCACTGTTTCCCTCATCTCCAGCCACTTTGAAGAGACTTTCTCCTCCCGGAAAAAAAGATATTTTGAGCAAGGTCTTCAGCCCCCTCCCTTGGCCTGCAGACGCTCCAGAACACCGCCACACCACCACGCATTCACAAGCGTCTCCAAATCCCACACATCCCATCACAGTTTCAGGCACATTTGGCACTGAAGAGAGGTGCAGAGGCACCAGCTTCCCAGCAGCACCCCCAGACGTGGGGCTCCCTGTCCCACCACAGGAGGTGGGGACAGAGATCGGGGCCAGCAAGGGAGCAAAGAGTGATCACAGCAGAACAAGCAACAGATTTCACCGTTTGGAAGTAGGACCCATGTAATTTTTCCTTATTCAGTTAGGGCAGAGCAGTCCAAAGCAGTTGCCCACTGACCTGGTGAAGGATCAGCACCTTGGCTTCTTGTCTGTGTCCAGCTGGGCAAGCTGGAGTTTGCATTTCCAAAGGGGGAGGATTGGTGGGTGAGCAGGAGGAGGCCCATGGGTACTCCATGCAGGACAGGTCTCAGAGGGCTCCTCAGAAGAGCTCTTCTCCATTAAGGAGCTGAGATTTCTGCAGAGGCAGCTGCTGCCCTTGGGAAATAGGGAGGCAGCGCTCTTACCCCTCATCCAGCTGCTTTTAAGATCATTTGAGGTGGTTGGCATATGTACGCGGTGAAGAAAATAAAAACAGAAATAAAAATCAAGGACTTAGACAAGCCATCCAGTTAGAAAGTTAAAATTTGACATCATTTGGCTCTCAAGAGCACGACAAGCTGTTATCTGCTCTTCAGCTCACAGCCCCTTCCTAGCAAAGATTACCATGTCTAAAGTCCTCTTCCTCAAGGAACAGTTTGATAAGAATCCCAAGAAAAATTTCATAGGCTACGAAACTCCTCGGCTCACGTGCTCAGTGCCAAGCAGGGCAGCTCCTGGCACCCACCCACCCTCCCTGGGTCCCCGTGGTTGGGACAACACCCCCGCAGCTCCCCAGCATCGGCGCCTGCCGCCACCCCACGTGTGTCTAATCCCCAGTTCACGGGCAGTGCAATGGAAAGCAAAGCCTCCACCCCTCCTGCACCACCACAGGCATAACATACGTACTCTACGAGATAAGGGAAGTTTGGTTAGCAAAAGGAAACCCATCAGCAGATGCAGCTCCGCGTCCCACCCCACGGCCTTGAACTTGCCACCCTCCCTGCACCCGCGGCTTGTTCCTCCCTCTGCGCTCCTCTCCTCGGCTGGAATCTCCATTTTCCCCCAGAAGCAGCCTGTCCGTTTCAAAAACTGGGAAGAAAGCGGCAGGAAAAGGCAAAGCAACACCCCACAAGACAGATGCCAGCACGAGGGAGGGGCACCAGGTCTCACTGGGCTCTGAGCACACCGGCTGGGAGCTTACAGCATTTGTTCCTCGCTGGGTGAACCCCATCCTTGGCAAGCATTCCCGTACTCCCACCAGCTCGTCCCTGCCCTCCCCGTGACAGATTGGTCCACCTTGCTGGGGGTTAGCCCCAGCACTTCCACCCCCACACCAGTAAGCCCGTGGGGGCTGCAGAGCAAGCAGCAACAAAACCCCAAGCTCAATGCTGTACAGAGGCGAGGTTTAAGCCGCAAGGAATTTCCATCCCAGCTTAATGCAGTTTCAGAGGACAGAATTCCACATGCTTTACAAGATAATAGGATTTGAACCACTCGTTAGGGGAGGAGGAGAGCTGGAGACTGATGAAATCTCATTATCCCCAAAACAGCTTGGAACAAGAAAACAGACTTATGGCTTAGAGCAAGGCAGGGGAAGCACTCTGGAGTTTCTATGCTTGTGTTTGTAAGGTACCTTGGGGAGGTTTCTCCAGGCCCGTATCCCAGGAAGCTTCCCCCTCTCCCCCCAAAGGCTGGGGATAATAGTCAATAAGCAGCTTTTCCCCACGGTCACACGTTTCCACCTTGCTTGCGGAACTCAAAAGACCCCTGGAATGACCCGTTTCTCAGGGGAGAGGGCACCTGTTTTGCAGAGGTTTCCTGACAGAACCACCCCAGCTTCAACACGTCTGCTGGAGAACGCTCCTCTGCCTGCTGAGCAAGGCAGGTGGGTGCTCTGCCAGCTCCGAGGACACCAGAGGGACCGAGCTGGGGCTGGCCCTGGCCCCAGGCTGCCTGCCACCCCAAGGGACAAGGTGCCTGCCCAGGACAGCCGCCTGCCAGAATACCAATGCCCTGCCAGGCATCTCCAGCGGCCAGACTCAAAAACATCTGCCATACCCAGCCTCCCCTGCAACTGCTTTTCATCACCTGGTTTCTTTCCTGTGGACATTACTAAAATTGCTGCTTCCACCTCTTCAGCTTTCGGCACCAGCAGGAAGAGCGTCACAGCCTCCACACACGCTCTGCAGGGGGACAGCCAGCCGGCAGCGCTGCTGGGGACAACGGCAGCGGGCAGATGAGGGGGGACAGGCAAGGACAGGCAACACGGGGACAGCCGTCATCATCTCAGGGTGCAGGTGTGGCCAGAGCTGGAAGCTGTGGGGGTGCTTCACTTTGCAGCTCCAAGCGCTCGCCTCCCGGCCCGCGCCGCGGGAAGAGAGCGGGTCACGCCGTGCTGGTGACCGAGGCAGCAGCCTGTCCTTGAGGGAAATCCTCAGCCAGGCTCCTCACCCCTGCGTCAGGGGGGACAGTTTTGGAGCCTGACATTCCCAGAGAAATACAGGCTCGGGATACGTGTCTCAATCTGCCCGTTCAGAGACGCTCGTGCCTCGGAGCAAAGCTGAAGGGGCCCCACGGCCACCCGGCTGTGCGTGGGGCTCGTCCTTCCCCAGAGCTCCTCTCACACTCAGCTGCTGCAGCTGCTCTGATGAAACACTCTCGAGGCTACACACACAGAGGTGTTTCAGCTCACCATGCACAGCACCAGCTCTGCCATTCACCCACCTCATCCTCACTGCAAATTAGCATCACTTTTTCCATTTTCCATCTGTACGCGGTGGTCTAGTGACTCATGCGTGTGACTTACCCTTCTCCGAGTCATTTTTCTGTCACCAGTTAGGACTCGGCCACCAGCTAGGACTGATTTCTCCCTCACTTTCAAGGAGAGAAGGTCAAAGGAAAAGCATGAGTGCACAGAAGGAATTTCGTACGCCCCAGAACCTCCTCAAAGCAGACAGACATTTGTAACAGGCCCTGCTCTAAAATAGCACCGTGTATGCAGACACCACTTCTTACGACTGCAGCAAGGAGCCAACCCAGCCCAGACAGTCCCCTCGGGATTTGGTTTTAAACTCCTTCAGAAAAGAGCAAAGCCAGCTTTGCAGCAGCAATCTCATCACTTGCAGCATGCAGCAGCAGACTCCCCTGCTGCTATGGGATTTAGATACACGACTGGCTCATGCAGCTTTAAAACAACATTAATCATGCAACCAGGACATTTCTGGAAGAGCCAATTATGTATCCAAGGAGGAAAAAACATACAGATTTATAGTCCAGATTCTACTAATAGCCTTCCTGTCCAGAAAAACAATTCCACTTTTAAGTAATCTGGTTACCCAGAGCCAGCAGCAGACCAAACGCTGTCCCAGGGGTGCCCTGGGTGCACCAGTATCAGACACCTGAAAGGATTCGGGGCAGGCTGGGGGAGTTCAGCACTGGTGGCACAGGCACCCGCGAGCAAAGATGGATTTTGTACACCCCCATTTTGCTCGCAGGTGCTCCGGCACGGCTCAGGGCAGCCTGCACTGCCAGCCACGAGCCTGCTTTACACCACTTGCACCACCTTGCCGGAGCAGGGCGGAGGGAACCTCAAGCAGAGCAGCCCCAGCAAGTCCGTGAGGCTGTTTCCCATATATCTCCTTAAGTACGAAGAGGGCACAAGGCTAAGAACCTTCTCCCATCCCACTCAAGATAAGCCAGGAGGCAGCAAACCCCGGCAAACGTAACTGAGCAGAGCCATGCCAGTGCAAACAAGCCACGTTTGCCCTATGCCCACCCGAGCCTGATGCATGAGGAGTCACATCATGCTTTAATGGTACTGATTAACTTGAGTCCTGTTTATCTTTTCTAAGGTCATTTCTCAGCTGGCATGAGAATGGAGCACGCTGGCAGTGGTAA